TCCATGTTCAAGAAACACTCTGTTGTGCTTACACACAATTGTAACCCTTAATTCTGTGCAAGATGAACATATATTGGAGAAATGCAGGCTGCATTCCTGTCCATTCTATGTACATTCATTAGAATGTCTCAACTATGAGGTAGTTTCATAACTGGGGCCAATAGTCTTACTTGGGGAGCAGGGAGAAGCTTAGATAGGCATGTGAGGTAATTCAGATGTGAAGCACACAATTAATATTTCTCATCTCCCCGCCATTCTAATCCTTCCAGTGGCTTCTGTGTGCCAGATAGGTTAACAGCAATGAAACAAAACAGAACACTTTGCCAGTCCTAATAAAATAAAAATACCCTGAGCATGCATTGTCTCACTTTTAAACTCACTTATATCATAGCCCAGTTATGACTATAGGAACAAAACTGACTTTACTTCTGATCCTAAGCATATTTACTTGGGAATAAGGAAAAGCGACAAATAGCACTTGCTTTGTTTTTATTTTATTTTTTTACGGCTGGTATATTTTTGGCATAAAACTGATAGTGACCCTCTGGAGTTAGGTATGTGCTGGTCAGCAACTCCAGATATAAAATACTCTCTCCTTTCTTTGCATTTTGAGAGCAACGCTTCACGTTGCCCTCATGGGTTCCAGCACACCCAAGTACTAGCCAAAGTGCTGATGCAGGGCCTGAACTTCAGCCTCAGAGTCCAGGCCTGGCTGCACCACCGGTTGGGTGGTGGAGTCTATGGGTCACCTGCTGAAGTTCCCAGGTTCCATTCTTGACATTTCCAGGTGAAACTAGATCTGGGGTTTGGAGTTTAGGGAACCAAGGCCACTTAGGGTAGACTGAGCTGGATGGACCAACATTCTGACTTGCTATAAGGAAGCTTCCATTTATTTATTATATTTATACCCCACTCTTTTTTTTTTTCCTTTCAGGGAACTCAAGGTGGTTTACATAACTCTCCTCCTCCCCCTCTCGTAACAACAGCCTTGTGAGATAAGGTGGACTGAGAGGCAGTGACTGTCACCCAGTGAGCCCCCAGGCTGAGCGGGGACTGGAACCTGCATCTCCCAGGTCCCCAGTCCAACACTCTAACCACTTTTCCACACTGTCTCTTCAGCTAATGAATGCACATCAGTTTGGAGTAGACTTCCTCTGCCCTGTTTCTTCCACACAGGCAGACAGTTATTTTCCAAAGCATAAACACCAGAAAAGGACTTGCCCTGGGAATGCTTTGTCATTGCTTCTGTTATCTCCCTAGATCCACACCCCTTTCGAAAGCATGTACACAACCCTCTTGCCTTTTCTCTGACCACTGAGAACAGTGTGGCTGCTACACTGCTGATCATTATAGCTAGGCACTTCTAGCTACATCAGACAGGAACACCAGAGCGTTGTTTAACAATTTTCGCAGGCTTAACACCTTCACATAGTTGCATGTAATTAAGCAAACCTGGGGCAGCATAAGGCCTTTTTGCTCCCTTAGATAGTTGCACTGTGCAGTCTTAGAGATAAACACACGTACCTTTTGCAATGTCACCAGGCCTATTACGGCCTTAACACTGAAAGGATTGGTCTAGTGGCCTATTTAGTCTAGTATTCTGTTCTCCCAGTAGCCATCCAGTCGCTCCAGTGGAAAGCCCTCAAGTAGAACATCAGTGCAACTAGCAGGCAGGACCTGCTAGCCATCTGAGTTGCAGTTTATTTGTTGCAGAATCTATATTCTGCCCTCCAGGTCCCTATTCATTAATACAATATATGATAAACCAAGCAATAAAACTGTAGATCAAACTCGTTTAAGCAGCAAAGCAGTAAAGTACAGCACTAAAAACAGCAACACTAAGTCAAGAACTATTATTAAAGCTGGGCTGGAAGGGATGTGTGTGAAATTTGAAGCAACACAAGAGTGAACAGGGAAGTCTCCTTGGGGTTCATCTTCCAGAATTGAGTGGTCCTGTTCCTCCAGTCTCTAGCGACCTAATCTAATGGCAGGGATAGATCGAAGCAGATTTGACTGCCTGTTTTGCATTTTTTTCAAAAGTTCCACTTTCATCAATAAAAAATTATCCCTGTAAAAGGTGGACTGCAGCTCTCATTCCCTGCAATCTACATGCCATGTTACAGGACAGTATTTTGCTTTAATAATGATAAGAAAGAATATTTGAAGCTGTGTCAGTAGCAGCCACAAAAGACTTAATGATACGAAAAAGCTTGGATCACTTTTCCTATTAACTGGAGTTTTGTGTTTAAAAATTTTTGACTTTCCTCCTCACATTGCCTGGTTCTTTAATAACTTACTCAAACTTACTCAAATTTTGAATTTCACACTTCTCTGCTGCAGCCACTAGAGGGCACTACAAATCCAATTTCTCCCTCCTCTCTAAATCTGGAATAAATCCAAGCTTGTTAGTATTTGTTCTAAGCCAGAAATAACTACCATAAAAGGGGACACTTTGTTCTATTCTAAGAAAGTTCCAATGTCCATTGCTTAATCCTAGGGTTAGCTTAAGTTATTAGCCTTGGAAGCAGCCCTGAAATTTGTAATGGAAGAGAGGCATCTCCAAGTGTTCATCCTATATCCCACCTTCCAAACTCGTAACAAATTGAGTTCAAGCCCCACCAAAATTGAGGCTCTGCTCATAATGCTCTCGCTGTCATAGTGCAATAGGTTCAGTTCTTTTTCCATCAAAACCTGCCTTGCAGTAGCTGGGCTACAAGAGGGAGGTTCAAGCCCAAGGCTCCCTGAGCCCCTTCATACTGGCAGCACTCCGGTCTCAAGGAACGATGAGCATGGCTGTCCAGCCATTCCAGCTCCCCATGTGCTTCTCCCCATGCTCTTGAGCACTCTAGTCTCTGCTACGGAAGCTTCTTAACATTTTTGTCCCTACAGCAGGGTTGCATATACTGCAAAATCCACGCGACTTCTCTGTAATATTTTTCACTTCTCTTAACTTTCAGTTCAGTACAGTACATGGTGGCTGCCAAGCCTTGTGTGAGTGTTCATTCCTCTGGAAAAATAATTTGTATGCCTTGGTATTTCAATACCATGTTGGCCACCCTGCTTGTTCTGCTTTAAAGCCAGAAACTGACTAACAGTAATTCAGGCTGTAGCCTGGATTTTTATTTTTATTATAATTGCCTGGGGATTATTCTTTGCCAACAACAGGACTGCATGCTAGCAAAGAGTTTGTTGTGCGAGGTAATTTTCAGTGAAAGGAGGTTCAACAGTACATTTTCCCTGTTGGTTTTAGCTCCTGTTTGATTTTAGCTTCTGTTCTACCTCCATTCACATTATTATCTCAGATCAGATTGCTCCAGGGAGGCAAAACCTGAAGAGTAACCCTGCCCCGCTGGAGCAATCCAAGGAGGCTCTGTGGGCCAGGAGTTCCTTCTTAGGACTTGCAGGAAGGAGGCCAGAGAGCTGGGCAACCTCGTATCCCGTGTTCCAGCCCTCCAAATGGTGTTCTCTTGTCTTTGTGTTGTGGGGTCAAATCTTATATTCTTCTCAACCCCCCTCCTTGCCATTATCATATTAAGGTTCCTGAGGAGGCAGGACAATATTCTCCCAGCCAGGAAATCATTGCCAAAGTGTCACCAAGCACCTGGTGGTGAACTGCCTAGTGCTGGTGCCTTTCAGATCCGTAAAGTGTTCCACCGTGACTCCTCCAGGAAAAGTGGCTTCCTGTACACTATTCAGAGGTGCTTGATGTCTGTGTTGTGTGTCGGTTGGCTGTGGTGATGGCAGAACCTGTTGGACAATCTTGTCTCAAATATGCTGCCTAATGATCCAACATACCCTGGGATTCAGTGGTCCCAACTCCTCCAGCCAGGCTTAGAGCTGGGCATGAAGGGACAGGGGAATGTAATCTTTTCTGGATTTCATACAATAGCTTGTTTAGTGAGGCACCCGAACTTGGTATTTCCTTGACCAGAAATACCGATTTGGAGGCTCAAAATGCTTGCCTCAGGAAGGAGGCAAACACTACAGCCAGAACGTTGGGTTTTTAAGGCAAATAGAGGGCACCTGAAGTCCTTCCTTCTGGGTCCCTGCCTGCCAGGTGGCAGGAGGATGGCAGAAGGGAGGGAAGTATGAGCACTCCAGAGATGAAGGGTGCGCTTTTGCCAGTGTTTGACTTAAGCCCTCGCAGAAGTGTTTTCAGAGGGAGAGGAACAGAAGGGCTTGCTTTCACATACAGCCTGCTCCACTGAACTGTTGCATGAATGCCACAGCCAGTGAGACTGATGCTTCCTTCCAGCACTGGGAGCCAACCACAGCAGAACTTTATTGGGTGGTAGCCTTTAGGTCTTTGGGGGCATGTGATAGAAACTCTGTATGCAAGAGGAACAGAAGCTTTTCTTGCAAGCAACGGAGAACTCACTTTTCAGAAAATGGGATGTGCCGTTTGGCTACAGCTGCCCAAGTCACTTGTGGATTGACGTGTTTAGGCCATTCCACAGAATCAGTGCAAGTTTGGGGAAGAGAGTTTGGCCAAGGCGTCATCTCCTTTTTGCCCCTCCTGCTTTACCCTCATCCTCTGGACCCAATCTGCTTGGATTCTGCAAGAGGGCTTGGCGAGTAGAGACTGCACCTGTCTTGCTCCTGGAGGTCTGATAACCCCGAAGCAACAGGACAGGTGGAGGAATGGCAGGGTGAGCGGCTGCAGCAGTGAGGAGAAAACTCCCTACAGACATAGAACTAGGAGTGCCTGCCACTCCCTCTGGGCCGGGCAGGATCAGTCTGCCTAATGCCTCACCTGTGCTCAGACTCCTCTCTCATGGCTTTTAATTCCTGTGATTCTATTCTTCATGGGGCCATGCACTTTTATTGCTACAATTGACTCAAATGTACTCCTTGGTGCTTCTCCTTCTCTCCATTTCGTGCCCCACTAACATGACATTTTATGGTGAGTTGCAGCAGCAGGAACCAGTGGTCCATTTTCATAGGCACACTTGATCTGCTCATGCCTGCTCCATCAAAGATTTTGATCTCTGTTGCCCCAGGTGTTCAGATCTTCTCGTCCATGATGACCTTCCCACCACCAGCATTATCATGTGCTTTGTCGATGAAGTGTGGTCCACTCTCCTGCGCTCTGTGCACAGCGTCCTCAACCGTTCACCCCCGCAGTTTGTTAAAGAGGTCATTCTGGTGGATGACTTCAGCACAAAAGGTAGGTCAGCGATTCCCTTCAAAGTGATCTTGGGACTTACAGTACATGAATTCTGCTCCTTGGGTGGCTCTCTTGCTCACTCATTCTCTCAATATGCATACATCTTCTTGTTGTCATTACCTTGGTACAAAATGGTTACTGTAGTATTCTGGTCAATTTGTATAGCCCTAATTTTTTCTGAAAGCTCAAAAAAGGGTTTCCTACAAATTGAGGCAGCCGTGGAACTCCAAACATGGTTTACCACTTGGAAGGATGCTGCATCATTCTGTAGGACAGAAGCAGCTGATGGCTGTCCTATTGAGGTCAGCCACCACTTCAAAGATACTGTAATACTTTCAAAATGTGATTTTAGCATTTAAAACTTGCTTAAATATGCATCATCTTGGTTACACAAACAAAACAGAATTTGCTTCTCTTGTCCTGATGCTAAAGGCATCTAACCCAGCTCTACCTCTCGTTCTCAACTAATCCAGGTGAGGCGGTGGCTGTGCTGAACCGGTGCCTGGCCAAGGTAATGGGCTGGATGAGGGCCAATAAACTGAGGCTCAATCCAGACAAGACGGAGGTCCTGTTGGTAGGAGCGTTGAGCTTCGGGATGGGGTTCCTGGACCTTGTCCTGAATGGGGTTGCACTCCCTCTTAGGGACAAGGTTCACAGCTTGGGAGTGCTCCTCGACCCTGAGCTGTCATTAGAAGCTCAAGTAACAGCGGTGGTGAGGAGCGCCTTCCTTCAGCTTTGACTGATCCATCAGCTGCGTCCCTTCCTGGAGAACGACTGCGTGGTGACTGTGACACATGCATTGGTCACTTCCCGATTAGATTTCTGTAACACGCTCTACGTGGGGCTGCCCTTGAAGACAGTCCGAATACTTCAATTCGTGCAGAACAGAGCTGCCAGGTTGCTGACGGGGACTGGGCATTGTTCTCATATAACCCCAGTTCTCCATCAGCTTCACTGGCTCCCCATTGAAGTCCAGGCCCAATTCAAGGTGCTGGTTATCGCCTATAAAGCCCTCAATGGCTTGGGACCTGGTTATCTAAAGGAGTGCTTGCGTCCATATATGCCCTCCCGCCCCCTGAGATCGGCAGGGAAGGCCCTTCTCCGGGAGCCTCTGTGAAGGATATTAGGAGGGTGAGTACCTGGAGGAGGGCCTTCTCTGTGGTGGCGCCCCACCTATGGAATGCACTCCCCAGAGAGGTCCACCTGGCGCCGTCCTTATTTGTTTTTTGGCGCCAGGCAAAGACCTTTTTATTCAAATGATATTTTAATTGTTAATTGGTTGTTTTTATTTATTGGTTTTAAATTATGGCCGAGATACTCCGAATTTTTAATGTTATTCTATTGTATGTTTGTTTATTCTCTTTGTAAGCCGCCCCGAGGCTTCTGCAATGGGTGCGACATAAAAATGCTATAAATAAACAAACTGAGAATAAGGGCCATTTTGTTGTAGAAAAGAATACTATGTATTAAAATAAACAGTATTAAAAGAGCATCTGTTACTGTGCACATATTTGGATGACCGACTTCTATTATTTAAAAAATAATGAAGAAGGAAGTGCAGGTACTGACCCAGAGCCCGTTGTCCACTGTACTCACTACTGATCATTCTCTGGGTGGGCATTTGGGATCATCTTGGTTTGCAGGAGGTCAGATGTCAGCCCCATGGCCCAAGTCTTGGTCCCACCACTGAGTGGCGAACCCTCTTCTTCCATCATGGGCTGCTTTGAAAGAGATGCAGTCTGTGCTCTGTTTAACTGTTTTGCCTCTGTTCTGATTTAGCATACCTCAGGGACAAATTAGACAAGTACATGGCACGATTCCCCAAAGTCCGTATCCTTCGTCTCAAAGAAAGGCATGGTCTAATACGAGCAAGACTGGCTGGAGCAGAGATTGCTAAAGGTAAGTGGAGTTGCTGCTTGACGTCAGCATGGCATTGGCTGAGTATTTGCTGTTGCCTGTTATTTTTAAGCACAGAAGTCCCTGGGAGCAAACTAGTGGAAATGTGAATTGTCTAAGTTGTATTGGCATAAATGGAACTGATAGCATTAATTAAGTGGGATTTAGCATGCAATCCTATATACATCTACTCAGGAGTAGGCCCTTTTGAAGCAACTGAGGCTTGCATCTGAGTAGACATGCTTAACATTGATTGGACTACATGCAGTGGCTACACCAGCTTTCTGCAACCAGTGGAGTGTCAGATGTTTTGAACTATGGTTTTATAGTTTTAAGGCTTTACTATGTTTTTATTTGTCTGTCATTCATGTTTTCTGACCTTTTTTCCTGAACGTCCCCGACTGATTTCTCCAGAAAGGTAATATGGAAAAGTTTTAAGCCATCCTGAAATTCTGTAGGGGATGGGATAGAAAGATTTTAATAAACAAATCAAGCAAGCAAGTTTTAAATAAATAAATAGGTTTTAAATAAGTCAATCAGCTGCAAGCATTCCTGACCATGGTCCATGCTGACTGGCTGGGAGTCAGAGTCTGAAACAACTGGGGAGGGCACCATTTTGATGAGGGCTTCTCTATGCCATCTTAAAAACATGTAGTAGGATAGTTTTTTCAAAGATGATGCAGGTTCAAGAAATTATTGATATAGTAGCTACACCAAATATTTTCCTGTTGTGAATTTTGATCCAGAATAGTGGTCTGAGACGTGTGGCAGAATTGTTTCGTAGAAGCCCCTTTACCCTGAGAGTGTTTATCATTGCACTTCACTGAAGCATCCATAGCCTCTGGTTTCCTTTCTGGTTACTTGGATCCACCATCCAAGTTCATTACCCCTGCAATGAATGGAGCAGTGTAAAAAACCAGCATTGCAGCCATTGGAGCTTGGCAGTGTGATGACAGCAGGGTGAACGAAAATAGATTCAGGACAAGGGCAGCTCTTCCTGAACCAGTCACAGGGATGATCCTTGTAGGGATCACAAGGTGCTTATATTACCCAAGCAACAAAATTTAGCTCTAGAAAAATATAAATGAATGCAAAGACAGCCACTTCAGAAAGGCCCACACAAAGTGGACAAGGAAGCGAATATTTCCACAGGCATTGCCAAAAACCATTAGAAGAACTTTCCAACACTGTTAAAATGTCATTGCAAAATGGTGAGATATTAACTCAAGTGAACTTCTTCGTACATCCTTCCTTCTTTCTCTGTTCACCCTCCCTTTCATTTCCCCTGCATGCAGTTAGTAACTGACCTTTGGCATTAGGGGAGTCTGGAATCTGACAGTTCCTTTCATATAAGAAAAACACACACAACAGGGTTGTGGGCATGCATGCTAGCCTCATATGGCCGCAGTGTCATTGTGCCCTGTTACCACAAAGGAGTGATTAAAAAAGCAAGAGGGGAAGGCATGTATGGGTTCAAAAGCAGATAAGAAAATATTGTCAAGTTCCTGAAAAACCTTTTATTATACACAATGCATTTTGGAAAGGACTTTCTTTTCTTAGGGACTGTAATTAAAATAACACTGCAAAATAAAATTTATAGTTTTTGAAAGTCCTAAAATCTTTAAATAGGTTGAACAAGATACAAGAAATGATTTATTAAAATGCTGCCACAATTGACAGTATTTATAAGATATAACCATTAAATAATGGTTGCTTTGGTTTACATTAGGTAAAAACTGGAGTTTGTTGCCTTTTCCTTTCAGTGGGCTAAATGTACCCACTTGTTGGAACAAAAACACTTCTCTTTCACAGGAGCGCTTAAGCACACATCTAAGGTGCGTGTAATATAGCAAGCTCCCTTGGCTGATAAAACAAACACTTTCAAAAGTATCCAACCTTTATGGCCTTCTTAGCACATTCCTCTACAGGATGCCATTATCCGTGGGTTTCCTAGCCACTTTTCCCCCAGCGGTGTTGCCAAGGCTCTTGCTAATGCTACTCAGAAAGCACAAGGGACCCTCCCTGATTTTGTAGTCAAACCGGTCAGTCCTAGAGGAGATCAACCCTGACTGCTCTTTAGAAGGCCGGATACTGAAGATGAAACTCAAATACTCTGGCCACCTAATGAGAAGGAAGGACTCCCTGGAGAAGAGCCTAATGCTGGGAACAATAGATGGCAAAAGAAGAAGGGGACGGCAGAGGATGAGGTGGCTGGATGGAGTCACTGAAGCAGTTGGTGTGAGCTTGGGTGGACTCCAGGGGATGGTGGAGGACAGGAAGGCCTGGAGGAAGTTTGTCCATGGGGTCGCGATGGGTCAGACACGACTGCACGACTAACAACAACAACAACAAAATTGGCTGCTGTAACAGAGATGCCCATGCCCTTTCATTAGGGGAGAGATTGCCATTCTCCTGTACCAGCTCCGCTGGCTACCAGTTGAAGTCCGGGCCCAATTCAAGGAGCTGATTTTAACCTAGAAAACCCTGAATGGCTTGGGACCAGGGTACCTGAAGGAGCGCCTCTTCCCTTACATGCCCTCACGCCCCTTAAGATCTGCGGCAGAGGCTCTGCTCTGGGAGCCCTCTTTAAAGGAGATAAAAAGAACAACTACCCGGAGCAGGGCCTTCTCTGCAGTGGCACCCAGATTATGGAATGGGCTCCCCAGAGAGGTGCGCCTGGTGCTGAGTTTATATTCTTTTCGGCACCAGGTTAAAACCTTTTTATTTAATTGCTATTTTAAAAACTAATACTTTATCATTGAACAGTCACTCTCTTTGTTTTCGGTTTTCTTGTCTTTTTGTAATCTTTTATTGAATTTGTTATTTATTGTTTTTAATTGTATGTATTGTGAGCCGTCCTGAGATGCCAAGGCATGTGGTGACAGCATACAAAAGTTTTGAATACATAACTAAATAAATAAATTTGGATACCATTTCATTACCAAATTGGCAACCAGCAGGGGAGTGTCCAGGAGGAGACCGGCAGGGGTGGGCCAACCCATGCAGTTCCACAGTACCTTCCTCCATGCTTCTGATACCACCCCCATGGTTGACAACAGGATAGAAAAATGCATCTTTGTGTAAAAATGATGAAAGCACAAGAGTAAAACTTCTTTGGGAAGTAGTCCTTGCATCCTGGAAATACCTTTTACCAGACTAACCATTCACAGTGCAATCTCAGGAGGTATGTTATTGCATTACATTTATACCCCCTAGAAGATGTATATCTTTCTTCTTCCTGCAAGGAATATCTTACTACGTCAGGTGGCTTCCTAGGCTCTCTTGCTGTCTATGTTATCCCCACAATATAACAGCTCTGTGGAAGAGTCTGGCGGAGAGTCTGACTGGCCCAGAGTCACCCAGTTGGCTCCATGGCTGACCAGGGACTAGAACCCAGATCATCTGAGTACCAAACCTACACTCTTAACCAAGACACCGCACTGGCTCTCTTGACTGTCATCTCATTATGTTAATATCTTATTGTTACATCAGTCTGTTGCAGTGTTTGAAAATCTGCATTAACAAAATGAAACATGTCACTACAGCTAATAGAAACAGCTAATTAGCTGCAGCACAGCGAATGCTTGGTGCCATGCATGTGATTGATGGCTTGAAATAGCTGTCTCAATTCGGCTATGACAGAGAGTTCTTTTGGATACGTGGATGGGTGTTTTGATATATGAAGATATTCTTATCACTTGGTGCTAATGTGAGGCAGGCCCACATTTAAGCTGACCCTGGAGGTCGGTGAACATTTTTGGTGAGATGTCAAAAAGGGTCACTTCCCTCCCAGTACAGTTAATAATTAGCATTTCCATGGCATTTACTGCTGTCAACATTATTTCCCACGCTTACCCTGCTTCTCCATCAAAACAGAGCACTGTGAATTAGCTACGTGGAGAACTCTTCTTGGGCCTTCTTCCCCATGAACATCCTGGCTTCACACAACTTTTTGTCCTCGCTCTCTCGCCACAGCAGGACAGTGGTAGACTTTTGCAGCTGACGTCTTCTCCCACCCCCAGCAACATTCTCACAAGAGGCCACCGAGCAAGACTCTTAGAGCTGTTCCCATTGCAACGGACCTAATTCATTTCTTACTTTCACCTTTAGGTGACGTACTGACCTTTTTGGATTCACATGTGGAATGCAATGTTGGGTGGCTGGAGCCGCTCCTGGACAGAATCCACCTAAACAGAAAGAAAGTGGCTTGTCCTGTTATTGAAGTAATCAGCGACAAAGACATGAGGTGATGGTGATCCCTTCCATACTTGCCCTAATCCTGTCATGGTGGTTTGTGCATAGAAAGAGGGTTCTTCGTTGTGGCCTCTGTGCATCACACATATGGGTACTACGCCTGCGCAGTGCCTTTGGCCGGAAGATTGATAGCTAACGGTTTTTGGCGGGAAGCTCCGCTCCCCCTCCCCCTTGTGGCCTTTAAAGAGCAGAGCGTCCGCCATTTTGTTCAGTTTGTGCGACCGCCGTTCGCTGTGCCTCGTGCCACTTTCGACTTTCGCTTTGGCTATTCTTGGTTCTCTCTTTATATATTGCCCTTATACTACTTTCCCCTTACTTCGTTTCCCGCTTCTGTGTAGTTTTTCTCTTGATACTTCTTCTTCAATCTATTAAAAAAAACAAAAATATATACTTACCCTCTGCACTATCTCTCTTCTTTTTCTTCTTTTCTTCTGCGATGGCGCAGCGAGCGGCTTTCCGCAAATGTGTGGACTGCGAGTCAAAAATGGCACCTACTGACCCACACAACCTATGCCTCCTCTGCCTTGGAGAGGGGCATAGGACAGATAAGTGCGTTCATTGTCTAGCCTTCTCAAAGCAGGCTAGGAAGAACTACAAGAACCGGCTTCAGAGGCTCCTTTGGGATAGGGCTCTGATGCAATCAGACCCGCTCGTCTCTATCCCACATCCTGGCTCCGCTTCTGTGGCTCCACCCTCATGCCCTTCGGATGAAGGTGTGTCCGCTTCAGTGGCCCCCTCTGCTTCACCAAAAAAGAGGCATGAGAAGCGGAAGCATGCCGAAGAGAAGCCGGCAAGCCATAAGAAGGCCAGAAAGGAGAAGGCCACTAAGCCTCCAAAGAAGGCTAAGTCCACGGACCGTTCCCGACATCGGGACTCGGAGCCGACGGGACCCTCGGTACCGGTGGCAGTTATGATACCGACCCCACCCGAACTGATCCTTCAGGAGGCCATGCGGGTTACCCCTCAAGGTCGACCTCCCGCCTGCACCCCTTCCAACTTTACGGGGATCTATTTCGGATGGGGAAATCCAGGACTCCCCTCCTAGAGCGAGGTCACTGACACCGATGCCCGTGGTGACATTGGAGACAGAAGCTGGCCTGTCCTCACCAGGGAATCGGAGGAGCCGCTCGGTAGAGCAACGCCCGGAGAGTTGGCATCGTCCCTACTACCAACCTTGGGGAGACCCGCTCTCTGTGGGGTACTACCCTGCTCCCAGAGCGCGATCCTCACCTCCGCCCCGCGACCAACCACGGTCTGTGGATTCGAGGAGGGTGCCACCTCGATCCCCGCAAAGCGGAAGCAGCCTCTCCTTCTCGCCGGCGGAGTCATCATCTTCTGCCCCACCATACTACGTTGCTGATTCGGATGACTCTGAAGTAGACTCAACCTCCCTGGATGTCGTGGTGACATCCCAGGATCCTGCGTCACCCAATGAGTCACACGTCTCCTTCGCGGAGCTGATGTCGAGGCTTGTCCAGTCCCTGGACATCGACGCTGCCCAGCGCCCAGGACCGTCGATGGACAAGTTTTATGACATCGTCCACAGGGAGCAATCGACCTCCATCGTTCTGCTGCTTATAACTACCCTGCGGCAGGCGATGACGTAGCCCTGGGACCTACCTTCACATCCTCAGCCGACGTCCTGGAGATATGAGTCTATGTACAGGGTCCGGGAAGAAGGCATCCCCTTCCTGCTAAAGCACCCGGAACCAAACTCGGTGGTCGTCGAATCCTCGCAAGGCAGAGAGGTGAGAGGACATACGGCGCTGAGGGATAAGGAGGGCCGGAAAATAGATTCCCTGGCCAGGCGAGTCTATGCTGCCTCGGGCTTAGGACTTCGCATTTCCAACTACAAGGCGACGTTGGCACGATATCAATATTTTATTATGCAGCGCCTCCACAACGTCACCTCCACCCTCCCAGACCACCAGGGTGACCTTGCGAAGGTCCTAATCAAAGAAGCCATGCAGGTCGCGGTGCAGCAGTTGTCCACGGCACATCACCACGTGGACACTGACTCCCGGGCCTTGGTTGGTGCCGTTTCCCTCCGGAGACACGCATGGCTTCGGAACTGCAATTTCCCGGAGGAAACCAAGTGGCGAATAGAAGAGATGCCTTTTGATGGTTCATGGCTCTTCCATTCACGTACTGACCACAAACTCAAGAAACTGCACGAGTCAAGAATGACGGCACGCAGGATGGAGATCCAGTCACACAGCAGACGTAAGTGGTCCTGGAATCGGCCATCCTACAGGCAGTCATACCAGCAGAGACAGCTGCCGCAACACCACCAGCAACAACAGCATCAACAGCACCGCCGCCCTCAGCCCCAACAGCGCTTCCAACAGGGCCGCCGTCGTTTCGACGATCGGAGGCAGCGCTGACGGGACTGGCGAACCACTCCTCATGCTCCTCTAATAGCCACCCCCCTCTCATCTGGGGATCGGCTCCGAAGCCGACTCCCCATTTGGGAGTCCATCACATCTGACCGGTGGGTATTATCTATCGTTCAACACGGCTATCGAATAGAATTCGACATCGGTCCTCCATCGAGTCCGATCCGGTCTACTTCATGTTCGCCAGTACTTCTCGACGAAATACATCAACTTCTCCTTAAAGGAGCAATTCATCAAGCATTTCCATCTGACGGACTTCACGGATTCTATTCCAGATACTTTACGGTCCCCAAGCGGGATGGTGGTCTACGTCCGATTTTGGATTTACGGGACTTGAATAAGTTTATTATACCGAGAAAGTTTCGTATGACCACCCTTCAAAACATTTTGCCGTTGTTAAGGAGAGTAGATTGGTTCGCCTCACTGGACCTGAAGGACGCCTACTTTCATATTTCAATTCATCCAACTTACAGGTGTTTCTTCCTTTTTGCTGTTGCAAACCAACTTTATGAGTTCACAGTTTTACCCTTTGGACTGGCTACGGCTCCGAGAGTTTTTACCAAATGTATGGCTCCTGTCTGTGCCTTCCTACGCCTTCAGGGCATACAAATTTACCCGTACCTCGATGACTGGCTGTTGGTCTCGCAATCCAGAGAAGGACTCCTAGACACCATCCATACAACCCGTACCTTACTAGATAGTCTGGGCCTACGTATTAATAAAGAGAAATCTTCTCTTCTTCCGACACAGACGCTCACCTTCATTGGAGCCCGCTTGGATTCAACGTTGGAGAAAGCCTTCCTCCCTCAGGACAGACAGCAGACTCTCGCTCTCCGTATCCATCGAATCCGACGAGAGGGAACGGTTATGGCGAGATCCATCCAGAGGGTCCTGGGGTACATGGCCTCTTCAGTTGCCGTAGTTCCACATGCCAGACTTCAGCTTTGCCCACCTCAACTATTCTTCAACAAGGTGTATCATCCACAAAGAGACCCACAGTCGAAACGGATTTGGATCCCGTCTTCCGTGCTCCACTCCCTGTGCTGGTAGCTGAAACCGATCAAGCTCATGATGGGAGTCCCCTTCAGGGCGTGACCTCCTTTGATAACTCTCGGTACCGACACGTCTCTCCTAGGATGGGGGGGCGATATGCTCTGGCCTGTCTACCCAGGGAACGTGGACTCGTCTAGAATCCATGAATCATATCAACTTCCTAGAGCTGCTGGCAGTCTTCAAAGCCCTTCGTTCTTTCGAAGACCTCCTTCAGCATCGGATCGTTCAGATAACTTCGGACAATATAGCGACCATTTTTTATCTGAACAAGCAAGGAGGGACGAAGTCACCGACCTTAGCTAGGCTTTCTATGAGAATTTAGGACTGGTGCATTCAGAGACACATTACTCTGATGGTCGTTCTTCTGGCTGGCACAGACAACGTGCACACGGATCTTCTCAGCAGACACATCTTCACTTCTCACGAGTGGGAACTGGATCCTCGTACGCGCAACCACCTTTTCAGGCGCTGGGGGTTCCCTGATGTGGACTTATTCGCTACTCGACGGAACAGGGTATGCGAGACTTACTGTTCCAGAGCGGGAATCAGACAAGCATCCCTAGGGGACGCATTCATGATCCCTTGGGACAACATCAACTTCTATGCTTTCCCTCCGATCCCTCTTCTGATGAGGGTCATAGCAAAGATAGTGAGCGACCGTGCATCGGGGATACTAGTTGCCCCTTGGTGGCCACGTCAAGCGTGGTTTGCGAAACTGCTCGACATCTCCCGCGGGGAGTTTCTTCATCTTCCAGCACTTCCATATCTTATAACACAAATGGACGGCACACTTCGTCACCCGGACTTGCTCTCATTGAACCTGACAGTGTGGCGGATTCGATGATTGACCTTCCATTGGGGCCGACGACGGATTCGAGAGCCTCGAATCCGACAACTTCTATTAATCCATCGGTATTGACGATTACTTCGACCGCTTCGGTTCCGATTCTCGAATCCAACCATGCGGGTGCCTCTCACTGCCACAGTCTCTCCGTACCATCCGGTTCGAGACAGACCCTGTCGAATTCGAACCCAACGCTCTTGCACCCTGAGATTCAGCATATTATCGACTCTGCCCTAAAGCCGTCCACAAGGAAGTCGTATATGGCTAAATGGAAATGTTTTTCCAGCTTTGCCGAGTCTCATTCGTTCTCCCCACTTGTCTCATCAATCGAACAAATTCTTCAGTTCCTTCTGGAGTTAAATCACTCTGGACTGAAGCCATCTTCTATTAAAGTGTATACGGCCACAATAGCCTACCACCGTGACTTAGTCGACAGATCACCCCTATTTTCTCATCCTATCCTCAAGAGATTTTTGAAAGGACTGTATAATCTTAATCCATCGATTAGACCGGTTATGCCCACGTGGAGCCTTTCTGTAGTTTTACAGGCCCTTATGAAGGCCCCCTTTGAACCTTTGGCAACTGTGGATCTCCGATTATTTTCTTGGAAGACAGCGTTCCTTGTAGCTGTCACGTCAGCCCGGAGGGCCAGTGAACTTTGTGCCCTCCGCGTCAACCCTCCTTATCTAAACTTCCACAGAGAAAAGGTCGTTTTACGTCTCGACCCATCTTTCTTGCCCAAAGTCTCTACACCTTTCCATACAGGACAAGACATTGTACTGCCTGCCTTTTTTGCATCGCCGTCGAATCCCTTGGAAAGATCCTTGCACTCCCTCGACGTTCAGTGTTGTTTAGCCTTTTATCGATTGCGAACGGAGTCTATTCGGTGATCCAATAAACTGTTCATCAAATATTCGGCTAGAGATCAGGGCGGCCCAGTCACTCCACAAAGACTTTCTAAGTGGATAGTCCACACTATTGTCTTGTGTTATCAGTTATCAGTTAGCTAAGATTGAATTGCCTTCAGTTCCTCGAGGCCATTCTACTAGAGCTGTCGCTACATCTTTTGCATTCACATCTGGGGTTCCGATTGATGATGTCTGCAGAGCCGCTACTTGGGCGAATCCCTGCACTTTTGCCAAGCATTACCGTCTCGATGTTCGGGCTCGATGGGACTGTTCCTTCGGTAGAGCTGTTCTCTCCTCTGTCCTTCGATGAGGACACCATCCCTCCTCCTTTGATGGTAAGCTTGTTAATCTACCCATATGTGTGATGCACAGAGGCCACGACGAAGAAAAGCAGGTTGCTTACCTGTAACTAATGTTCTTCGAGTGGCATATGTTCTTCGAGTGCAGTCACACAACCCGCCCGCCGGCCCCGCTTGGTGTCGGTGAGTGGATGCATCGACAGCTCAGTGTCGGTGAGAGAGGGCATTTTCGGTACCGACCATCTCCTTTATGGTACCGACAAAAAAAAAATCCATTAAGATACCGTACGTTCAGTCGCAAAGACTGAACAAAATGGCAGACGCTCCGCTCTTTATAGGCCACAAGGGGGAGGGGGAGTGGAGCTTCCCGCCAAAACCGTTAGCTATCAATCTTCCGGCCAAAGGCACTGCGCAGGCACAGTACCCATATGTGTGACTGCACAGATGGCCACTCGAAGAACATCAGTTACAGGTAAGCAGCCTGCTTTTCTCCATAGCACTGCTCAGACACAATGCATCCATAAGGACATGAAGTTGCACCTACTGGACCCGGTCCTAAATGCACCAGCCAGACTAGCTCTACCTGCGCAGTGTCTGCCCTCCCTGTGTTGAAAAGGTCTGAAGGGGAGTTCTCTATATATTCACATGAAAAGGCATGAAAACTAGCATGTAACTGGGAACCTTCCTAAAGCAATGGGGTCTGTTAGCCACCCCAACATCTGTCATCAACCCTTTTCTAACTCAGCATCTGCTTTTGAAATTAATACCTGCTGTTACTTCCTTTCTTTAGTTACATGACTGTGGACAGCTTTCAGCGTGGTATTTTTACATGGCCAATGAATTTTGGGTGGAAGCCAATTCCTCCAGATGTCATTGAGAAAAAGAAGATTAAGGAAACTGATATAATTAGGTAACTATATGAAGTTAAGCTAATGTTGGACAGAATTGCTTCTTAAGTATGAAGCCCTCAGGATGGGAGAAGCCTGTGTATTTCCCAAATTTGCAAAGCATATATAATATTTTTATGGAGTGAAAGCCTGTTCTTTCTCCAGTGCCAACTAGCATCCTCTAAAACCCAGCCAGCATAGCTACAAGGGTCCTAGTACAATAGAAGAGGTTCCTTTAAAACAATATTTCCCACATTGGTGTCCTCCAGAGGGTTTGATCTACAACTTCCAGCATTCCTGATCATAGGGCAAGCTTGCAAGAGCTGATGGGTGCGGATGGCCAAAATATCTAGAGGGTACCAAGTTGGGAAAGGCAGCTTCAAAGTGCATATAGCTTAAACAGGGAGCAAACTCCAATGTCTGTGATGTTTAAGAACAACCACATGCTAGGAATCTAACTCTGCATTTGGCTAGAGACATCTGTACATGAGCTATGTTTTCCTTAATGGTTAAGCAACAGATCCTTACTATATTTCCAACTTCCTCAATATGGCTTGCTTTAAGCATAGATGAAAAGCCTTCATCTATGGGTTTCCCCAAACTGGAGTGGTCTGCCCGATTTGTTTCTTAATTATGGAATTATAAGCAGTAGTTTGAGAAATGTTCTATATAAACATTATCGCAATTACTATTTGTTTTAATGTATGTCACAACATATTTAAATGTATTTTAATATATCCATGTGGATTTTTAAATATGGTGAGCAGATATCTATAGCAATATGGTTAGATATAATAAATACCAACAACAACATGAGTATACAAAGTTTATAATAGAGTTTGCTGTTTTGGGGAGCAGGGTAGGGTACAAAATTATCTGATTCATCTTGTCTGTCTGCAAGGAAACATAGTATAAGCACATGGAATGTTTTTACTTTCTAGTTATTTATGGTAGGACCTCTGTAATATCAAATTCTACATTTATTCAACATGCACAGTGTACATGCTGATTTCTGGTTCAATTATTAGGTGCCCTGTGATGGCAGGTGGGTTATTTTCTATCGATAAGAAGTATTTTTTTGAACTTGGAACATATGATCCTGGCCTTGATGTTTGGGGAGGTGAAAACATGGAGATTTCATTCAAGGTATCTTGTATCCCTATAACAGCATGTTGATTTTTTATTATTTAATACTTTGATGATCATCAGGTTAATGGTCACAATCAGCAGCAGTGAATATGATTTTCAAAAGATTTGTACAAATGTTTGAAACTTGAAAAACTTCATAAGCTATGTCTTTAACAAAGTATGGCTTTCATGCAAAACAATTTCCAAAATTCCCCCAGCAATTCATAAGAGAAGCACTAAATGGTGGCAGATCTTACATTGGTTCACTTGAAGTTCAAATATCGCACAGACCCATGATTAAAGACCTTTAATGAGAGGTCTGAATTGATTATCCATGGAATGCAATTTTGTGGCTGACTGGAATGGTTTGAAATGGGTTCGCAAACTGGAGTTTGTACTAACTATGGTTAGTGTGAGGTTTGATTTTATAAACCGTTGTTCTGCCTTTGGATAATTCTGGAGTTAGAAACTGGAGTGTTGAAAGGATGTTAAATGAAAGCAGAGAAGCAGCTTAAAACCAAGGACTGCCTGTGCATTTTGGAGCTCTAGTCCTGGTTTGAGTTTTAAACTATGGTATTTATGAACCATGGTTGGCACGTCTCTGAACTCAGCTGAAATAGCATGGAATTTCTTCAGATAATTGTGCTAAAGTGTACCTAGCTAAATGCAGTACCTAACTAGATTCTAAAGTGTGTTACATGAAGGAATGCATTCAGCAGGTGTTACTTCCTTGACACCTTGCCTCTTTTTACCAGGTTTGGATGTGTGGAGGAGAAATTGAGATCATCCCGTGCTCCAGAGTAGGCCACATTTTCAGGAACGATAATCCCTACTCCTTCCCTAAAGACCGCCTCACCACAGTGGAGCGGAATTTGGCCCGCGTGGCAGAGGTTTGGCTAGATGAATATAAAGATCTCTTCTATGGGCACAGTTACCAGCTCATCCAAAAAAACCTGGATTTTGGCAACTTGACTCAGCAGAAAGAATTGCGGAAGAAGCTTCAGTGCAAAAACTTCAAGTGGTATTTGGAGAACGTTTATCCTGATCTGGAGGCTCCCCTCGTTAAAGCTAGTGGGCCGGTATGTTGATTTACCAACAGTTATGCAAACCATACTATCTGCATATGGTAGCATCAAATATTGGTATCAGATAGAGCTGAATTTTGCCAGGTGCTTTGTACTTCAAGTGCTAAAGTGATGGGTTCACGTGGAGCTTTTCTACAATTTGGGTTCACATTTTTATTCCACACTTTCAACCAACCCAAAACGGAACTCAGTATCTTTGAACATTTTCTTTTCTCCAAAGTTTAGAATAGAGCTCTTGCAAAAATGCACACACAACTTCATGGATTAAGAAGAATGCGCGTGGTAAATGTTTTCTATGTTTTGTGCAAACTTTAAAAATTCTCAAAAGTTCAGGATGAACCACATTTAAATTTGGGAGAAAATGAGTAAAAAGTAGAAAGTTGGGTCCCCATCTATGTACAATAGCCTTGCCTTTGGTATTTGTGGATGGAGTCTTCCACATGGTACCTGTGGCCATCAGTATATCCATGGATACCTCTTGGTGCCCACCAGGCTACCTCACATAATCTTTATTTTATTTCTTAGGATTTTTCAAAATTATTTTTCTTAACCTGGACAAGCATATGCTGCAAAGGAAAGTACTGCTTTCCAGTTTCTAGCTGTATTTGGAACCAAAAACCTATCCGGCCTCTCCCTTGTAATTAGCTTAAGTTACTTTTACTTTCAGCTCCCCACTTTATGGTTGCCATTATTTGGGAGCACTTACAACATGGACTCAAACAAGAAATGTGCCCACCAGTGGCAAAAAGTTGGGCATTTCAGCATACGATGATTTGGAGACTATTATGGCTCCCAATACGCACAGTGAACCAAAGCACCATCTTGAGGGCAAAATCCACAGCAATTAAAGTCAATGTACATTGTAATCTTTTTGGCTTCACCTTGAGATCACAGACCCCAACACCAGCATGCTGGCAGATTACAAAAATAATCAACAGGCTTGCAAAATTAACTTCATGGGGACTTGGTGGGATTTGGATCTTAATAGACAAATTAATTGACTAATATATTTGAGGGGATCTATGTGTGATTTTAACATTTCAGGATAAATTAGTGCACAAGAGCTTGTTTGGGGAGGGTCGCATGCCATGTGTTGCAAGATCAAGGCTGTTCAAGACCGTACCTGCAGCAACTTGCCCTTCAAAATCAATGCCACCAACCCATACGGTCTCCGGTCTTGCAAGTGCCACTGTCCCTGACACATTGTCCAATGAAGTCCTAAAGAAGCATGGATTCCTGCAGTACCCCCAACATCACACTTGTCTCAGGCCCCATAAGCTGTCTGGGTAGGCCAGGAATGGATTGGGGTGAGGTCTGAATCTCGGAAGCCCAAGAGACTTCTGCTTTAGGAATAGTGTCTCTCACATAGTCTGGAGCAACTATGTTTCATGCCATTTCCTCTTTAATAATTATAAGCTGATAAAAGAATAATAGATTTGTTATATTTGCCCAAGTTAAGAAAGTTTAGCTCTCCCCCTTACTTTTCTAATTCTTCAATAACTTATTCGAAGCACAAAGAGCAACTTCCTTTAAGATGTACTATTCTAGCTTGCAACCACTAGAGTGCACTAGAAACCCACTATTTCCATCCCCCACCCCCTTTCTGGAATAAAATCCAGATTTTTGTATCCTCTTCTGAAACTAAAACTACTTTCTATAGAACACTGACATGGTGTGCTTTCAGTGCTTTCTCTTCAATTTTCATGTTAATTGAACAACTGCAGAAAGTGATGATACTTCAACATTTGTAGTGAGCGGTTTTATTTTCCTGGGCTCCAAGATCACCGCAGATGGGGACTGCAGCCAAGAAATTAAAAGACGCTTGCTCCTGGGGAGGAGAGCTATGGTAAATCTAGACAGCATACTAAAAAGCAGAGACATCACCCTGCCAACAAAAGTGCGTATAGTCAAGGCTATGGTTTTCCCAGTTGCAATGTATGGCTGTGAAAGCTGGACCATAAGGAAGGCTGAGCGCCAAAGGATTGAGGCCTTTGAATTGTGGTGCTGGAGGAGACTCCTTCGAGTCCCTTGGACCGCAAAGTGATCAAACCAGTCAGTCCTTGAGGAGATCAACCCTGACTGCTCTTTAGAAGGCCAGATCCTGAAGATGAAACTCAAATACTCTGGCCACCTAATGAGAAGGAAGGACTCCCTGGAGAAGAGCCTAATGCTGGGAACAATAGATGGCAAAAGAAGAAGGGGACAGCAGAAAATGAGGTGGCTAGATGGAGTCACTGAAGCAGTCGTCATGAGCTTGAGTGGACTCCGGGGGATGGTAGAGGACAGGAAGGCCTGGAGGAATGTTGTCCATGGGGTCGCGATGGGTCGGACACAACTTCGCGACTAACAACAACATTGTGGAAAGAGAAATTCAAGTATACCCCACTGATCCATTATGAGTCAAGTCCAAATCAGAATGGAGTTTTGGCCTGATTTCATGCGTACTGAGATATCTCTGCTGCTGCCCTGCTGCTGCCTGTTCCTTTCAGAGGTCGTGAAGGCCCCAGAGAGGCCTTTCGGGGCAGCCTTTGCTTCGTCCTTGATGCTGCCACACGACCATAGGTTATCCGCTTGATCCCCTTCCCAGATGTTGTTGCACTGCATCCCCAGTCAGCCTTATCCAGCATGGTTATCGGGGAGGGATAATGGTAGTTGTGACCTAGCAACACCTTCAGGGCCACAGGTTGCCCACCCATATTCTGAACTATGCAAAGCAGCATGGGACATGTAGTTTCCATGGACGTCAGTTCCCAATGGCTCTTGACACTTGGGATCCTGGTGGACACTCCCACAAGGGCATGCCAAATGATAGGAAATCTGTTGTTGCAGCAGAACATCCTAATGGAAGCCCTGTCACAAGGCCTTCCTATAGCACAGTTCCCTATTTTCACCGCCAAATATAGAAAGGGAAGCGGGCAGCAGCCAGATGTTCCAGCTTTTCCAGGCTTCCATTCCTTCTAGAGGAGCACAAAAGACCCAGGTTTTGGAATATGCTCAGAAGAAATGTTTCCTTTCTAATACTTCTGGAAAACAGATTGTTGTAGCGTTCAGGACAACGCCAGGAGTTGTTTGGCCATCACTAGATGGGACAGAACTTAAGCAGTAAAGATTAGCATGGGATGCTTACATCTTTCATAGAAGACTTCTTTCTGAGATTTGTAATCTGTTCACTTCATGAGGATTTCCTAATGTTATGTCACCACTACATATACAGTATTCATTCCAACATGGAAAATCATGCAATTTCAGCTTTCTTTGTGAAACAAACATTTGCATGCTGTTTCCATGCATTTGATTAATTTCGTAGTGGCTTAAACATGGGAAGCACATGTAACAGGAGACACAAAGAGAAAACAATCATATTGTAGAATTGCATTACTTTAATGAGGCAGCAAGATAAACTTGGAAAAGGAGCACCCACCACTAATTTTTCTTACAGACACCTATACTGTCTATACTTTACACCTTCACTTCTGCATATTTACGTTTTCAGGGCAGGAGTCACAGGCCTGGATGTTGTGAGAAACTTGCTGTCTTGTTCTGTTCCCAGCAGCATCATGAACTCCAGCATTGTTTCCTTCTGCGGGGCAAGTAGGATGGTCAGATGCGAGAGGACAGGGCTGAACTGCCGAACTTTTAAGAGCTTTTCAGAAAAGGACATCTTAGCAGGAGAAGCTTGTATGCTAAACTATATCCGCTGAAGATCTTTCTTCTACACAAGTAGTAACAGTGCACACTCCCTGTCCTCTCTTGCAACTGCCTCCTTGGAGACTGAGAAGGGGTTACTGGTATGCGCTAAGTCTGTGCTAACATGAGATTAAGGACACAAGGGAAGGGTGTTGGGGTGGGTGAAAGAGAGACTTGATAGTACCTGCCTGGAAAATGATGTGTGCAATCAGTCACTCATCTTCCAATGCCATTAGCAGACTGAGATCTAATGACAGCAGGAGGGCTTAGCCACTTATTTATATTTATTTTTTTGACCTTTACATTAACAAATTATAGCTCACATCATTAAGCCAGAAGAGTTTGTTTAAAACTCTGAATTAGTCTTGGTTAGGCAAGCTAATCTCAGGATAGAAGATCGCTGTCATGATGAGCTGGGCAACCAAATTGACTGCATAAGGTCAGCTGTGGAGAATCGCGCTTCTGCCTATCCCTTGCTTTGGTTTTTGCTGTGGTGCCGCAGCAGTCAAAATCACTCCCCCCACCCCGCACCTCCACATGCAAAACCCAGTTGCAACCTTCAAAGTAAAGAAAGGGGAGTTTGCACATTCAAGGGTTAAGTTAAGGGCCGGTGGCAGCCCCAAGATTATTGAATGTGTTTGTGTATCACCTAAATTTCCTTATAAGAGGTGTCTCTCTTTTGCTGAGATAACAGTCAAAGTTTGAGGCAGCTAGCATTTTAGGACTGCAAGCCTATGTTCTCTGTGCAGAAATAATAAGCCTCATTCAGTTCACTAAAACTTGCTATTGGGAATAGGTTGCAGCCTTAATACCTAAGTGCCACTGCACTGTTAGAAGAAAATCCATCTTTCGCTCATATTTTAACCCACTGTTATATTCACATGCCCATCAAAATACCCTCATATTCTCAGACCAAATAAGTAAAATTAAACCCAGCTAATCAGTCACCTGCATCTGTGGTGTAACACAGGAATTGCATATGGCCCTTGACCTAATGTCATGCAGCTCTCATTTCATCCGGCTCAGCAGATGCTGCAAGCCATCCTTGCCTTCCGGGTGTCCCTCTAGAAATCACTTCCTTTTCTGTTTCATGCAGGTGTGAAAGGTAGAGAGGCAGAGGAAGAATTCAGTGGCGGGGGGAGAGATGCCGCAAACTCCACCCACTTGTTTTTGGTCCCACCCACATTTAGCTCAGGGGCCATCCACCAATGAGTTGTACACTCCTCACCATTGTCCATGGACCCCAAAGGGTGTTTCCTGTGTGTCCACAGCCCTCCAGTGGAAGATAGTTCCCTGCCCATGATCTAAACCTACCAATTAATATTTATAACCTTGGTTAAGACTGTATATCCACTGGAGTATTTAGGGGATTAGATGTACTGCTTTGATGCAACCCCTGAAGTACATCTGTACCAGTTGCTGCAGTCCAGAATAGCAACATTGCCATGGATTTTAGTGGCTGCAGCTTTACGTCAGATGTTCACCCGCAGATACCATCATTTCATGGGCTTCAACCTGTGCAATGGGTGGGAATGTGTATGGAGCTATTGTTTGCCTCTGTTGTATTTATTCATGGCCCTTCATTTCACTTCATTTACTTGTTTCTTTCAGATAATTAACACAGCATTAGCTAAATGCATTGCTGTGAATCAGTCAAGCCTGACCTTTGAGACATGCGATGTTACTAGCAAGGTAAGATAGTTACTGGGTGTGTTTTGTATTATTTGTTTCAGAAGCCAGATAGAATTGCTTTAATACATGTTTTCAGCCGTTCCCTTGGCAGACTAATTGTTGGCACACTGCGCCCTTGCACATGCTGAGTGGGTGTCAGGATGACTTGGAAGTGTGGGGTGACCTCATCTACTTTTTTATGCCAGAAGGCCCTGTGGTCCTGCATCCAGTGCTGTCACAAACTGCTCAGATTGGGCAGAGCCGTATGTGTGGCCTTTGCCAGCTTGACCATCCCATGCAGTCCCATTTCCTGCAGATGCCAGAATGCATGGAAGAACTCTCTCACCCATCATCCTTTCGTGATGGTAGTCAAGTGCTTGCACATTTCTATGCATGGACTAGAGCCCTACACATAGGACTGCAAGGTAGCCCAAGATGTTCCCAAAAGGAATACCAGTTCTTCATATCAAGAATGTATAGGATATCAGTTAGTGGGCAGGAATTGGCACTCTTTGGGGTTGTTTCTATGTGACCAGTGAACTGGTGATTACTGTCCAGCTGAGATATTAAAGATATGCTTTTAAATGAATGCAGAGAATCCCTGGATGTATCACTCACTGTTTGCTTAGTCTGCAAAATAGTTTCCCACTGCTCTCAAAAAGCGGGCTGGGGGGGAACCTTTTCTCGACTGAGTTCAGACAATGCAATAATACACATTCAAGGGATGAGCATTGCTTGTTCTTGAAACACAAGTTATTTTATTGTCTGAACCCAGGTGTGCTAACAGACGTGACTTGTTCACCATGAACAAAGCAGGAGTAGAACCCACAGTTGCTTCTGTTTGTTTTGTTGTGAACAGTGGGTTGTTCACTGTGGTTTGTTGTCTCAGCTGGGGTCAGACTACATAATAACCTGGGTTTCAACAGCAATCCACACTCAACTCTTGAGTCTGGGTTTTCTTGTCAGAACCCAGTCACTATAACTTCTATAAATGGCTATTTAAGTATTTGTTTGAATGATTCTAGGGCTTGTTTGGGTTTTTTTACTTCTGAGTAGAGAAAGATGCCTCATGGCTGAAGTCCTGAAAGAAAGGCTTTAGACAACTAGTTCTGAGGGTTGGATAAGAATGCCATAATTATAGGCAAGGGTGTAGACCCAGTGACCAAACTGCAGGTACTGCATCTTTTCCCATTTCAAGTGAGCAGCACCCTTCAGCAAACTTGCAGGGCCTGTGGCAGAGCTCTGCTGTGCATGGCATTGGCTGGGTGTAGCGTGGCCAACTGTGCTTAGTCCCAGGCTGAAGATGGGGGCCCAGTCAAGTTCCTGCTGGCTCACCATACATTGCTGATGGGCTGCCCTTGGTTTGCAGGACTGCAGGTATGAAGACATGTCTCACTGTAGCGCTTCACATTGGCACAGCCAGGAGAGGAAGCTCTGTGTGCAACCGCGGTAGAGCAGCAACTCTAGGAGCCAACCAGCCCTTGAGAAAAGTGCCTTGGAAGGGGCTGGTGTGCCTCCCAGAACCATAGAGAGCAGCCTCAGCAGTTCTGCCTTGCTTCGGGGTGATTGCTAGGAAGACTTGTGCTCAGGCATATGGCCTAGAAAACAGGCCTGTTTTCCAGGAAGCAGTGTGGATGTTTTGAGGCATGATGAACTTATGAAGGGCTCCAGAAACTAAAGACAGCCTTCATGGGGCTCATGGGTCAAACCAGTGGCAGAGAACATGGGGCAGTGTCCTATGCTGTCTCCCATGCCTCTGCTAGTTCCAGTGCAACAGAAACCAGCGGTTCCTGAAATAATCCAAGAGATGTGCAGGAATGCTTATTTCCAATGCAAGGCAGCATGCCCCCTGTTCCAGAAGCAAGCATTGTCACATGTTGCCAGTTCTTTCTAGACCCACTAATTTCTGGCGAACCAGACTGTAGGGGCAGTCTGGGGCATTGCTCATGTGGCCCTCCAGAGGTGAGTCCCTACACTCCAGCCAGCATGCCAGTGTTGAGGGCATGATGGGAGTTGTAATCCTGTAGCATCTGGATGGCTACACATCCCTCACCTCTAGGCTGAACCATTTGATAGCCTGATTCAAGTGTGCTAAAAGCAGTTGATCCCACCGAATTCAGTGGGGCTTGCTTCTGAGTAGAAAGGTGTATTTCTCTGTATTATTTGTGTCCAAAGCATCTGCCCTTTCAGGCAGAGGGAAGGGAGAGAAGAAATTATCAGTGTTAGTCAACTGTTAAATCATAATCTGTTACTAATTCTTTCCCATGTTCAGAACCAAAAGTTCAACTACACCTGGCTGAGACTGATCCAGCATGGAGACCTCTGCATAGCGCCAAAGGATGCCAAGGGGAGGATGGGCCTGCACCCTTGTGATAAGCGGAACAATAGCCTGAAATGGTTGCATAAATCACTGGTGGCCTTTCATCCAGAACTTGTAAGTACAGCCTAGCAAATGACTATTTCCCCTCAGTCTGGCTAAACTGGAAATGGCGCAAAACAAAGGGAGTCTTTCGCTCATTTCCATTTGTATGGCAATGGCAGCACTCATCATGCAAGCAAAGAAAGAGTTTGTGCAAGCATCACTTTCAGCTTTAGTATTTATTTTCCAAGACAGCTCTCTGTACATGAAAAACACCCATTTATAACACTGCAGCCATCAAAAATAGCTTCTCTAAACTGTCATGGTCCAAAAAATCAATCTGAAAAGTCCCTAGCAGTCTTTGCAGCAGTAGATCCTAGAAATGATTCTGAACTTGAAGGAAGTGCCAAGGTCAATAGAGCGCCCTCACTGCTACCACCTTCCGAAAGGATGTATTTTTTAGCAGAGCCTTTCAGTACTGGGACAAGAGATAATAGCAGTATGGTATCTGATCAATCTTGTACCACATCCTGATAATCGGGATTCCTTGCATTTGTCTTTCTTTAGCAATCTTAGTGCAAAAGCTCTTTAAAAAAAGAAAATGTGTCTTGAGGGTAAGAGGTTTTGTGAATGTATATGAAAAAATCAGCCATTTAAGTTACCAGATGGCCTGTCAGGTCCCACTGATGTTCTTTGAATCTGCTGCTGAACTTTGGGCCTGAAGACAGATTGGGCCCTGCCACAACAGCGAGAGTAGTGTTTCTTTCTTTTACAAAACCATAATACCCAGTTCAGCACAATTGGGCGCAGATGATTGCACCTGTACGAGATGGAGCAAGTGGCAAGCTGCTGCTATACAATTTTATCCACTGAGGTAAGAGATCAGATTAGTTTTTATGAAAGCTTCAGGTGCTGGAAGAGCAGAGTACTGGCCCCCTGAGAGAAATGCAGCCTAAAGTTATCACTATTGTAGGAAACGAAAAGATGGATTTATTTTCTCAGAAGGTAATGGTTGTCCTCCACAGGCCCCTCTTAAAGCTGAACTGTTCGGAATGAAGAAAAATCGGTCGCAAAGCAGCCTGTACTTTGGGCTAATCTAGAAGCTAGCTTGTACCTGAAGCTGTTTGTATTTTATTTTGCACATCTTAGCTTGTGTGGGAGAGCAAAGAGGAACCGGGCCTCAGGCTCCCCAGGTTACACCCCAGGTCTTCTGTGGCTACACGTGTATTAATGCGCCACTCCACCAGCAGAACCTCAGACTGTGCAGAGGTTCTGACCACAAGGAGCACCTGTCTGTATCCAGCTTTCTACCTCCCTACCTCCAGGCACCCATTCTCAGATATCCCACTCAGCATATAGATGTCATGGCCACAACCAGTGATTTTGCAGCAGGATGTATTTATTTATCAGCATACATAATTCTCCTCAATATTATCTTCACAAGAACAATGCTGTGAGGTAGGTTAGGCTGAGAGTCTGTGGGAAAAGTCACAAGTGAGGTCTGTGGCTGAGCAGTGCCGAGAATTCAGCGCCTGAGTCCCAGTCCCACACTTGAAACCACCACCCCACACTGGCTTTCACACTGGCAGGATGCATTCCTGCCCCTCCAGGAATGCATAACGGGTGCTTTAGTGAATAGTCTTTTTGCCACTGCTACCAGTGCAACCTCCCCGGGTGTTCTTCTGCACAAGCCCCCATAAAAACGGGGGCTGCTCAAGAGCAGCGCTATAATTGTCACGTGCCATTCAAATCCATTCCATGTCAGCTGTGTTCCGTGGTGTCAGACCTACCTCTGAGTTGTTTCACAAGACCTCTGTGGGGTTTGGCTGTGAGAGGGACTTACTCAAGGCCACCTAGTGAGTTTCCTAAATAAACCTGAATTTCCCATATCCATCGATACCATTCTGGCCTCTATAATGCAGTGGCTTTAAATTTGGGGGATATCATGTTCAATATATATGTATCAAACTTCAGGGTGGGTTTTTCCATATATATCTTGAATTTGAACTATGTTGTCTCTGCAAACCTAAACTGCAATGTGAACTATTGGCACCATTACAATGGAGCCATTTCTAAAAGATGAGGTAACTGTGAGTTTTTCCTAGATAGGGAGCCCCCTCCTACATTAGACAGAGCGAGGCAGCCAGCTGGGAGTCATGGCAGGGACGTAGGAGACAGTTTCACGCGAGCCTCTCAAATCGGCTCGCAGCCCTGAGTTCTGGGGGAGAACTCCACCGCTGCTGCAGCGAGATCTAGCTGCCCATCCAGCTGGCTTCCTGTCCTTATCTCAGACACCAGCATGACTTGTGGTTGCCCTCTAAATAACCTGTCACTTATTATTTTATATTTGTTTGAGTACAGTGGTAAGAAAAATTAGAAATGCCACATTTTGAAATCTGAGGGGCATTTTCAGAGCATAGAAATGTTCTTGAGAAACCGAGAGAGACAGAGCAGTTTTGGAGATTATAGTGCTGTGAATAGTTTTCTAGGTCTTTCTAGCAAATGTCAACTAAACAAAAATATCATTCCAAAGATGGCTACAGATTGAAGATTGACATAATATAAACTATCTCAAATTGACCATCTTTAGTGCCATAGCACACCAATGGAAAAGAACATGTCAGCTAAAACCATACTAGAGCAGGTACTCATTGTACTGCATGGTTGTTTTTCTTTTCTAAAAAATTATTTGTTAATAATTACCAAGGCTACGATGGTAATTTATGATGCATAACTACATACCAAAGAAACTCCTCTTGGCACATCCAACCTGTGGGTTGTTTTGCCACTAGTGGAAGAGATGGCTCTACCTTACTTTGATCCAAAGCGCAGAGCTCCGTAGCTACAAGCAGAATAAATAATGGAAGAAATTCTTGGAAGAAAATGTTTCCTATCATAGTAAAAGCAACCAAATTAGCATGTTTTTAACCACAAACTATATTGCTATCAATATAGTGCCTGAGCTCCACATTACAAGTAGTGTATTGCTGCTGCTGCTGCTGCTAACTGGTGTCTCCCCCTGCAATCCCCAGTAATGTTCAGTTAAAGAGACACATGGCGTTGTTACACCGAGCATTGCCCTTGTGTCTCACAAGTGGCACCCACTGAAGTGGATCCATGGGGAGGAAGCATTGAGCACAACAAACTTATAGGTAGAAAGTAGTAGAGCATTAGACCCCTTAAGGTTGGTGTATGTGTGAACTGACCTCAGAGAAAGTCATTGTATCTGAAGGCTGGGTTTGCATGTCAGTTTATGCAGGGGGTGTTAAATGTGAAGAAACCCCCAGTGCACCCAACAGATTATCAGACTCACTGGGGTTTCTCCCCGCTCCGTGTGTCTGTGGCTATCCCAGGGGACTCTGTGGCAGGACTTACTTGCCTCTCTCTCTTTCCCCTGCTGTGGTTACAAACCCATTTGCGCTTGCTATGGCTTTTCCCACCACCCATCCTTTTTTTTAAGCCATTCTTTGCAATCTTCAATTTAACAGCTAGGGGCAACCCCTTCAAAGTGTCCAAGCAGCATTATCACCTCTTGGTTTTTCACCCCCTTTCTCATATTTTTTTAAAAATCAAAGCAAGGAATTTTAGCAAAGCTTTTCAAACATTTTTGTTTGTTTGTTTATTTAGTCAGATTCGTGTGCAGGTTCAGTGACCGGGGAGGGGGACAGTGAGGGGTCTGCTGTGCAAGTACAGTGGGCAGCTGCCATGGACATTGACTCGGAGACCCCACTAAAAGCTTTGTTTTTCAGTTGCTTTCTCTTGGCAGCTGTTAAAGGCAAACTGTCAAGCGAAACTAAAGCTTGAACTGATCTTTGCTTATGGAAGGGAGTAGTCAGTGGATCACCTCCGTTGCAGTAAGATCTTGTAAGCTTTTTTGTGGGGTGTTTTGTTTTGTTATTTGGGCCTGACCCTTGTACAGGTTCCTTGTCCTTTCCCACTCTTTCCCAAGGAATTAGATGCTCCAAAATGGAAAGGTAGAAGCCACCCCTTTTTACAGCCAGCTATCAAAATGCCAGTTTCTTTTAGATGTTTAATTTTTTATAGTTGAACAGGGCTACCCCATGTGTTCATGCTGCACGTGTCCCTGTCGAAAAAGCTTGGGTAGCCCTGTCAAGGAATCCATTTTAACAGCTACCAGAGTTTTGATGGTTAGCTTCTGTAAAAGGGATGGCTTGCGCTTCTTTGTTTTTCTGAGCACCAGAGATCTCAGGAGAAGGTAGGAAAGTGTGAGCACCAACATTCACTAACATGTATGTGTTCCTTGTAACATGGATCTCAAGATGCTAGTATTTGCCTTCTTCCCATCTTCATAATTCTTATTTCCTAAGATTTGCTGTCAGGATAAAGTGATGTTCCAAAATATTAAGCCATGTTTCTTACAGCAAGCCTGCTCCTTCCTCTGAGAATAGTGGTAGTATTGTCGTAATGAAACTGTCTGTCTGATTAGAAAAAAGATTCTTGTATCTAAAAACAAAATAATCAGAATGCATTCCCTGCATAGTCAAAAGCTTCTCACGATTTCATAACCTGGTTCCGCATCCCAGCACTTGGACTTAATTAACAAATTACTCGGCCCACTTCTCATCATGGTAAGCATCCTTGTATTTCATCAGCTGAGAGATAATGCAGTATGAAAGCCAAGATCTCCTGCCATAAGTTATCCTATACTGCAAATGCCATCTGGAAGTATTTCCTGTGCATGATAATTACCATTCAGACAGCCAGAGTCCTGTTCTTTGCATTTTGAAAGAATTAACAAGCCATGCAGCACAGAAGGTATAGCAGAGTTCAGGTTCAAGAACAGGTGGCTATGTTGGATACTGTCCAGTTTCCCTATGCAGCTTATAAATGAACCATAGGTATTGAACAGAGATGGCTAGAAAGTTCAGAATTTGCCAGACTGAGAAAATGGCATTTTTCCTGCTCTGTGCATGCAGTTCTGTGCACAATGTTTTCTTCTTTCTCTTTTCAGATGGATCACATTGTTTTAGAACACCTTCCCCAGGCCACATGTCTGGAAGTGGATCCATCTCAGGAAACCCTGAGGACAAACATTTGTTCCTCCTCTAATCTTTATCAGAAGTGGCAGTTTGAAAATTATTATGCCGATTGAAGAAAAAGATGAGCAAACCAGACATGAGAGCTATTTGTAATCCGGCAAATTTAAGAATGACAGCTGTGAAATGTCTGATGGTGGCAAGGACCAAACTGACAACTCATTTCCAAAGCTGCGATTGAAAATCTGTCAATGTTAAAAAGAAACATATGGAAAGATCAGAAGATGGAGCAAGAGCACAGCTGGCTGCATTCAAGCCAGGCATGTCACCTCCAAGGGTGCCTGGTAGGAATCTGGCAGGAAAAACATGTCACAGGGAAAAGAGGCGTGCTGGGAAAGTGCTCTGCTGGGTCTGGGGTGGCTTGCCTACTGAAGGGTAAAACAGTCGACAGGCCTTGTCAGCAGCTATGTTTGTGGCTTTTGTTTCTTTTTTTAAGGAAACTTACGGAGATTCCAGTTTACTAATTCGCTGTCTCTCATTCTCTCCCCGCCTCTGAAAATGCCAGTCCTTGGTAAAACCTTGCAGGCTTAGATATCTAAAATCTCTACCACCAGTGCATTGCCTGAGCACTGGAACTGAAACCCGTCAACTTGGATTGGTTGTGGGCTGCCCGGTGCATCCTCAGCCTTCACAGTCATGGTAAAAAATACGGCTTCGATGTCGTAAATGAAGGAATTCAAAATGTTTTGCAAGGCAAGCAAGCAGGTCCTCCTGTGCCTTCGAGGCCCTGTGGGGCACATCTGGACTACAGCATTCGGACTGTAGGGATGAGAAATGCCATCTCCTGAAATTGGAGTAGCCTGGACAGTATCTTTTCAGAGTTTCCCTTATGCAGAGGCAGAGAGCAAAATGAGCAGATCTCTGGTGAACTGGACACGGGACTGCAGGCCTTAAAACGCTGGATGTCCCACCTCCCCTGAAACCTCTTTCAATACAGTGTCTAACAGGGGGTTGCCTCCCTGGGATTTGCTTCCTGGTGTTGGAGACCCTTCAGGTGGACCTTCCGTTGCTCGTGGGACAGGATCAAGTGCTCATTGTTGCTGAGGAGCTGAGGCTTGCTCGATCGGTTCCCCCTGCACGTTTGGAACCTCAGGCCTGAATAGGGCTTATAAGGTGCTGACTGTAGAGTCCAGCAAGATGCGAATACTGGCACTGCTGCAAGTGGGGGGTGGAGGGATCTGCATATTGTTGGGCCAGTGAGTCATTAGACCAGGAAAGCAAGTATGAAGGAAGCCACTGAGACCCAAATGGGAAGCAGCAGCAGCCATCCTTGTCACTGTCCTAAACCGCTCCTTGTGCAGAAGATTTCTGCTTATCATGTGGCGGACACTTCAGGACTTCCCACGAAGTGCATGAATATACCCCCCAGCCCCATAGAGAGCCAAGCGCTACCCTGCACGCACAACATGGCTTGAAAGGAACACGAGGAACGTGAGGGATAGCACTGGCCTTCCAGCTGCTGCATAGCTGCTGACGGACACCAAGGAGCTGGCTGTCTCCTGATTGCCTCATTGCACCCTTTCACTTGATGCAGTGATTTTTCGGAAGCACAAATAGGCAAACTTACTGCAGAACTGCCCTAGCATAAAAGAAAGCACACAGTCGGCTGCCCAGCTTGGTATATCAGCTGTTGAGCTTTATGAATTCCAGCTGCAACTGCAGGTTCATAAGCTGGCAATGCTTTCTCATGTAGTATCTAGCAAAACATGTCCGTGATGTTGATGCTTTGCCTTCTGCCATTTCTTTCAGATCCCATGCTTATTCTCCAGTAGCATACATGTATCTGACTTTTAAGAAGTAATCATAACTAATGCTCTTGAAAGCACACTATTTGACTAATCTGAGCTTGAACTTATTCAAGAACAAACCTTTGCATCTTGCATCTCCATCTGCCTCAACAAAACAGTTTTCCCTGCCCCTAAGAAGACTGGAAACCATTTCTCTGTGCTCAGCACATGCGAAATATGCATGCAAGCAGCGTTGGTTGCTTTTGACGCGGAAGGATCCTTTAGTTCACCTGGCGCAGCACAGCAACAGATTCAGTATGTGTACCCATTGACTCCTCCATGCACTGGGTCTGTGTGTACCCAAGGGAGTGGGATTTTGCTCCGGCCTCTGTGTTCAGTGGGCCATTGCAAAGCCCCAGTCATGCTTTCCCCATGGGGCTAGCCGAGATGGGAGGGGGAGTCACTGGACTTCCATGGGCATTCCCCGTCAGGGTGACCGTTGCAGCCCAGCACGTCTGAAGGGTGGGAAATGTGTTGTGTGTGGTCATCCCACTGAACACGTGGGATTCCAGCGCACAAAAGCTGACTGGGAATTATTAGAGCTGCAGTCCAACACATTTGAAGGGCAGCAGGGTGGGGAATACTGCAGAAACAGTTGTGTACGTGTAGACAAGCCATGCAACTGGGAACCTAAGCATGTGAGCAACCAAGGTGTGTCAAATGGTATGCATGTGGCCAACCCTTCCTATATGATATGGAAACTGCAGAAACTGGGAGTGTTGGCATTGGGTCACAGTCCCATTCCCCCTCCACATGGAGACTAAATTCGTGGAGGAAAGTCTGTGTGCAAAATCCTTTGTCTCTTGTATGAGAACGGTAGTCACCATTGAGTAGCTTTTGTCCATTTGCAGGTCTGAGAGCTTGAGGAACAGTCCTCAGCCCGTTTCTTTCAGAGCAGTTGGTGCTGGACAACTGCAATGTGGATTTGCCAAAGGCATGCAGGACTCTTCTGGAGCAAGATGCTTAAGGATTAGCATCCCTGTCTCAGAGCATTGCACTGAGTTTGCACCTCACTCTACAAGTTGAGATGACAGCCAAGCTTTCCTCAGCCGTAATGTTTACAGCTTGTTGCAAGTCTGTTTTGTGTCCAAGAGGGCCTCTGTAGTACGTTGCCGTCACATCATATATCAACACTGACAATGTTTGACAAGCTGAACCTGCCAAAATATTGATTTGCCTAACAGACTTTGCAGGCAGCTTCATTCCCCACTGTCTTACAGATTTCCTCCCCACCTCTTTGCCATCCTTCTGTATAGTTGCCCTGCAGTTACAATCAGAAAAATCACACAGATGTTGTCTGCAAACTCATATTTATCGAGGGCATGAATTGCATTACATCCAGTGCATTGACTTTCCGTCATTTGTCATGTAGCAGGCACAAAATTTCCATATGCCATGGTCACATTGCATTCCCCATCATCCTGGCTGCATGCTAATTCTAAACTTGTGCAAAGGCTTGCTTCTGTATTGCTTTAGTTTATGCAAAGATACTTTCAAAAGTATCTCTGTGCATTCCCTGTGGACTCTTGGCATGAAAAGGAATGCAAGATTGTACCTATCAGCCTTTTCTTTCAGCAGAGAGACTAAGACCACCTTGACTAAGTAAATGAAAAAGTTCATTATTGCATTTTGATCAAGAGCACATCGGTCTTCTTAGACCCAGGATATGCAGTTGAGCACCTGGGCCATTTCCTGGCAAATTATCTAATTGGAAGTTGCAATCCACTTTTTCCCATGCCAGTGAAAATGACTTCAAATAAGCTGTGTCCACCATTTTCAGTGAATCGTGTATTTCATTTCACGAAATGAAATACATTTCATATAGGAAATATATTCTAGCTGTGACAACTCTTTTAGAAGCAGGGGTTAGCAACTACTTTGCTGGCATACATAGGTTTTTCTCTTCTCAATGAAAGGTGCGTAAGAATAATCTCTAGACTTCCAAACATGTTTTTAAAATTCAGCAGTACAGAAAAGTGTATCCATACTTGGAAGTGGTACATGAACGTTTCTGCAACATGAGCACAAAACTCCAGGCACACTGGATGGTTAGCAGAATGTAGGAGACCAGCGTGTTCTGTATTTTACAACATCATTTTCACCTGAATAAATGAGCAAGTATTTTGGAATGACAAAAATCTAATGCTCATGTCCTTTGTGAATAAGGAGTGTCCTGTTACAGTTAAAGTCAGTCCTTCAGTGAAGACACAGTCCCAGGTGTATGTAGGCAGTAGAGGCGCCTACAACTTGTAGAATTCCCCTGCCAGCCATGCTGGGAGTTGTAGGCCTTTTTCATGTCTAAACATGCATTGGACTGTGCCAGGATGAGAATGACCAGGATGTAGCACTATCATTGTGCGCACACATTCTCCAAGGGAATCACTATGAAGGCAGTGTGTATGTTACTGTGTGTCACTGTATCCGTATACTATGTATGAATCAGCACAGAGCGGAATTGGTGGCCCAGTTCTGATCTTACCTCATTACCTTTTTTACCATCTGGTTTGTAATACTAATTCATTCAGAGGTAGTTTAGTGAAGAATCCTGTATATGTTTCATTCCTGAAGGTCAAATTCATTTGTTTGACTTAAATACCCAGAGTTTGTTTTTAATATAAATTAGCATCCAGGTTAAAGAAAAAACAAAACACTTATGCCTTGGCTTTTTAAATAGACTTAACTGCTGTGAATTTCAAAGAAGTGCTATGCAACAGGTTGGACTTGGGCATGCTCAGAGCTGACCCATTGAGGTCAATGGAACTTAGATTAGTCATACTCAGTTAAGTCTCATTGAACCCATTGGGTCTACACTAATTTAGCATGGCAGTCTAGATCCAGCCTAAACGAAACAGCTCAGAAATAAACCCACGTGATGTCTTAGGCTTCAGTACCATTATATTTACTTGAGACTGTGTCCCGCTGAACTCAGTGAGACTTATTTCTGAGCTCACGTAGGACTGTTTATTCCTAATTCTTGAACGAGGGTGTACATTTTTATAAAAGTGAGGTGATAGCTTTTATATAATGTGATTTGTGTATATGTCTTTTTTATAGACATGATACTTTCACTCTGGCATTTACATTTATTTTACCTGTAGGTAATTCTCTATTTTAAAGATTTAAAGAAGTATAGTAATGTTGTGTAGTTGAAACCAAAAGGACAAGATTATTACATTTCATGAAAATGAACTTTTATTAAAAATCAAGTTATATTTATTATTTGTTGCACAAAGTGGTTTCTCTTGTATCTGTCACAAACGGTCCTATAATTTTTGTGTATCTTCTGCTAGGTTATTAGGGTATCTCCACATAATCCTATTACAGCACAGTGAGTGTACCGCTGTTCCGTGGTTGAAACACACAACTATGCAATATGCTGTCTTTGCAGTATTTTCTTTTCCATTCCAGTTATTATATATGCAGTGCTTTGGAGCTCCTGTGGGGAATGTGGTTTTATGGTTCTATCGACCTCTATTAGCTTGACATAGCAAAGAGATTTCAAAGCAGGACAATTTTTTAAATTAAATACATCATGAAAACATTCCTTACCTTTTTGCCATGAGGCTTGCAGTGAATTCTTTTCACACATGGGAATATCCTAGCCAGTCAGGGATCCCATAGGCAATATAATTGTATGATGTCATCATTCTGCCAGTGAGATGTACAGTGGTACCTCGGCTCACGAATGCCTCAGTTCATGAGCAAATCGGGTCGTGAACAAAAATTTCATAAAAATGTTGACTCAGGTTGCAAACTCCACATTGGGTGGCGACCGCGATCATCTCTCCACCTCCCTGAGTGCGGTGATGGCGCCGATCATGCTGGGGGCAGAGGTGGGGGGAGATGGCCAAAATTGCACCCGTCTTTCCTGCATGAGCACACCCATGATTGTGCCCAGCTTTTCTGCATGAGCACAACTGTGATCTCAGCCATCTCCCCACTCCAGCATGATCGCACCCGTCCCCCCCCCGAACGCACCCACATTCCCCTCCGTCTCCCCCCCCCCCGCAGCACTCTGGGATGATGGGCGCAATCCCGGTCATGCTGCGGGGGGTGGAGATGGCCGCTCCTGCTCAGGGTGAGGGGAGATGGTCATGATCTATGTTGATCTTTGTCACTTTGCTTCACATTTTTCTGATTCAAAAAAAATGGTTACAGAACAGATTAACCTTATTTACACTGAACCTTACGGGGAAATTTAACTTCACTCACAACCAGTTTGGGTCACGTCCAGAGTCCTGGAACGGATTAAGTTCGTGAGCCAAGGTACCACTGTACCTTCATGATGGCTTCAAGAAGCCAAATCAGAGTGAGGACCAGTAGTTTTGCTCATACTCTGAAAGGCTTCAGGATGATGCCATGCAGACAGGTTTATCTGTGTGTAGCAGCAGTGGGAGCTGCTGGTCAGGTGGGTTGCCCTCTGCTCCTCCCAAAAGAAAGCAAAAAAGATAGCTGTGAAGCAGCCAGAGGGTATGCACCCCTTTTCTGCATGGCTTGCTGGCACAATCATTGCAGGCTTTTCTCTCAGACAATCATTGCAGGCTTTTTCTCTTTGCTCATTATGCAACACCCCATGGCATCTGTTTTTATCTTGCACATGTGTGGCAGTGTGCAAGAGCAGATGCCTTATTCTTGACAAGGGAAACAAGGATAACTTACTTGGGAGTGTGCCCGTGCCAGGCCATCCCACTGAGACACAGGATAGTGTTGATAGTGTTATAAACAAACAGCTTAGGAAGTCTATATTGCCCAGCACTTTAGCCAACTAGAGTAGGAGGAGGGGGTTGGAATAGGCCATGTGTCAAGCACAGGCCATTGAGCAGCAGAAGCATCTACATGTGGGATAGACTAGGCAGCCCATCCAACCAAGCAAGCAATAAAAATGAGGCTGGCTGAGGCTGGGAAAGCTACAACTTAATTCAAAGAGGCCATTGCTTATCAGGAACACTGACTGTGTCACAACCTAATTGATTCTCAAATATGTAATCCCTGAAAGGTTAAAAGACAAGATGTTTTGCCAACATTTTTCTATGTCTAGTTGAAACAGAATTGCACAAAGGAGTAGCACTTTCTGGGAACAGAATGCCATAAACACAGACCACTCAGGATTCGTCTGCAGACAACAGTAAGAATAGCCACATACCATAACTTGGGAAGAAAGATTCTCTAGGCAAATCAGAGGGCAAATAAACAACTTACATTGGTACAATGAGGTTAGTGTTTAGTTAGTACAATACAGAACAGCCTTTTTTTCTATTAGCACAATAAAGAATTGCCTTCTATGACACACAGAAAATCCAACACAATATTTGAGCCTGCCAAAATTGTGAAACTCATTATCAAAGAACCCTTAGAAGTATGGTAACATAGGCCTCTTCTCATTGACTAGTGATTGGCAAACACCTAGAAGGCCAGGGTCCAGTTCCAACCCTGCAAACAATTTCAGATCTTGCTTTGTTTTTGCTTTTTTAAACTACATTCTCCTTGAATTTGTTTTAGTGGACACTGTGAAGCATAGAGACTTGGCACATGTAAGGTTTGTTAGGACTCCATTCTGCTCATTCAAAACCCAGAAGACCTGCCTGTTTTGTGGCCAGGTGTGCAGTCTGCAAGAGATTTCTGCCCATTCATATGACTGATCTGGGTCAGTAATTCCGGCAACATACCTTTTCTCCAGTAGGGGCAGAAAGCAGGACACTCTGTTGCCCTCACCCTCACCCTTTTCCCACTTCCAGTTACAGCTGCCGCAGGTGGCTTTTTGCTCATTAAAAAAGACAGTATATAGAATTCCATACAATAGGAAGGTTTATACATGCAAATACAAAGGCATCATCAAAAAGTTACTAGGTAGCCTCAATTACACCATGATGATTAATTTGAAAATAATCACAGTAATATTTTTCTGCTCAGAACTTTATAAAAAATGAACAGGAGACGATGCATTCAATAAACACACTTGAGCTCAACAGCACAACTCTTACAGTGACACCTAAAATGGCTGCTGCACTAGGGCACCATTCCTGCTTGGTTACGACCACTGGATCGTTTTCATTCCTACTACCAGTTCAGCCAAACAAAAAGGGACAATTTCACCTGGTTACCGTCCCTGCAGAATGGCTGTATGTATCTTACAAGAGCAACTGTTGCTCGCTTTCATAAAATGGGCATGGAAACTAACATAAGTCTAGCTGAGTGAAGTCAAGACCAGTGTAGTGTAGTGGTTGGCATGTTGGACCAGGAATCGGGAAATCTAGGCTGTAATCCCCACTCAGCCATGATGCTCGTCGGGTGACCGAAGCAGCCACTTCCCTGCAACCTAGCCTAACTCACAGGGTTATTGATGTGAGGATCAAATGGAGAGAAAGAGAACCTTGTAAGCCACCTTGGGTTTCCTGCAAGATGAAAAAGAGGATGTATATGTAATAAATAAAAACAGGAATCCAGAATGTTCTTTGTTATTATTCTTGATGGGATAGCTATCCTCAGTCCTTGGAGTCAGACAATACAGGAGAACATCCCATATAACCTGATGGAAAAGCAGACACAAGTCTCCAGATGGAAGAAAATAAAACTCCATTGCACATTGGGCTAGCTTGAACAAGAACACTTTATTTTGTTACATGCCAAGATTTGTGCTCTCTATTTTTCATTGTCTCCTCTGTCCTCACCAATGCCACTGATTCAATCAGTATCATCCAATTTGTTTAGCCAATTTTCCATGTTTTATTTACTAGAAATAACCTTCAATGGGTTTTTCTTTTGAGTTTTTCTTTTACTAGAAATAATCTTCTTGGGTTTTTCCCAAAGAAAAGAGAAAAGAAAAACTCAAATTTGTGCCCATTCTTTTATTGTTTAAAGATGGTTGGTCCAATGGACTCTATTATCCAGGAGAACAGACGCTGCTGGAGGATTGGATTCTCCCTTAAGACAGCCAAATGCAAAAGACAACAGAACTCCTACACCTTTTGCAGTTGTGCAGAGGACTACAAAGAAAGAAAGGCCCTGGGATGGACATGATGGTCTTGAAGAAAGTTGCGTGAGACAGCTGGGCATGGAGAGCAACGATCCACGGAGAGGCCAAGGGTTGGACTCAGCTGAATGGCTGACGACAAGAGGAGCAGTTTTCAGCCTGCCATGCTGAAATGCAGAAGCCCTGTCTTCTTTTATGCATCCTTCATAGGGAACCTTCTGATGCAGCTTTTGCGATGGAGCACATGGAATTGCAGGGAGTGGAGGGGGAGGCCAATAGTACAAGCAGATTCGTGTTTCCATGCTATTGGACAGAGATCCAAATTTTAATGCTTAGTAAAAGGCTTTTCTGCATATTCTAAATCTTCACAATGTACCAATTATGGAATGGTAACAGCTGAAGTACCTATAGCAACAGATGTACAAATGTTATACATTATCTCAACATTCAGACTGTGTATGAAAGGGTAGCTATTTGCCAAGCTGATGGTATCAGGTGCTGATTTAAATGATAAATTTGTCAATATTTGCCAGATTAATTTACAGAGTGCAATTGGATTTGTGGAAGCGTTAACATGTAATTATTCATGAGACGAGCCCATCTGGATTATATTTTTTTTTCTGCAGCATGTTTAAGACTAATGCCGTTAAGGCTGCATAACTACTATAGCACGAATCAAAGAGGACAGGCATTGTCCACGTGTAGTAGAGTCACCAGCATGCGCAACTCGCTTGACAAGCTGACTTTGGGTGAAATTCCCTAAGCACACAGCTCTTCAAGGCTCAGGAGACAGGTCCTCTTTTGCACCTGGCCACCCTAGAATGCAGCCTAACAACAGTTACCCTGCATAAAATTAGATGCAGCTCATCCCTGGTTACTGAATCTAGTGGGACTTACTCTCCGGTAAGTGTACATAGGAATGTGCCCTGATCGCAAGTGTGATTACTCTGAAATAGAACCCAGAGTCCCCAAGGAACACACCTACAGGCAATTGCACATAGAAACACAACCTGTGGCCCTGTGCTGTGGAGCATTTATCAGACAGCTCACTGTGTCCAGTATGGCTTAGTGTGGATAGGATTGCCTTAGGCTTAAAGGTGCCTGCTGGACTCAGCTGGCCAGTGCTTATAATCTAAGAGTAACACCACTCGTTGGGGTAAGTGCATGCAAGATTCTTCTGAGAAGCCTGCCCAATAGAAAAGAGGAAAAGGGGGAAGGCTTTTTTCCATACCAGGAAAGCTACAGGAGCCCCCACCTCATTTTCGCCTGTCCAGCTCACAAGAGCAGCACTGCAAAAACGTGGACACGTCAGTGCCAAAGGAACAAAACCTGTTAGGACAGAGGAGATGGCAATTGCATCATTATCATTTTATTTTGCAACTCCGGCCTCAAGACGAGACTATTTTCCAGGAAATCACCAGCATCAACAACAGCCTTGTTTATTCTGTTTGTTTTTTAGGAGATTACCAGTTAGTCTTAGTCTGTCTGTTTCTACCACTGCAGTACCAAAAGTAGACAGAATAGTATACTCTTCTTTTACATGAATCTTCTTTTTAAAGATCTTTAAAATAAAGTTGTGTTAAATTTATAAAACTGCTGATTTGATTCCTACACTTGTTATTTCTTAATGAAACATAACAGATTACATTTTTGAAGTGTACAAGTCCAGTGACACGTGCCGCACCCAATCCAGCTGTGACTAAGTTAGTTGTGACTAAGTCCCACTGAAAGCAATAGAGCTGACATTAATGATGACTAACTCATTCTATGAGTTTCAATGAGCCTTACGTTGCATACTTATACATTGGTTCCCAAAGTAAGCCCTGTTATGTGCAATTTGACTTAACTCCATGATCTCATGCATTTTTACTTGGAAGTAAATTCCAGCAGAGCATGGAAATTACTCCTGAGTACTAAGGGTGCCTATGATTACACCTTTAGTCATTACTAAGGTTAGTCAAATCAAAGTCACAAAAGACATCTTGATAACTGGATATTAAGGTGGAGAAACATCTGGCATTATGGGGATGTGGCGGTGGGAGAAAACTTGCAGTGTGCTGATCAAATTCTTTGTCTCAGTTCATGAATGCATCATGGACTCAAATTCATCAATTCTTTGTTTGGTGTTTCCTTTCCGGATCTTCCGGTAAGATATTGTGTTGTATCGAGAATAGCTGTGCCTGGAGATATCGTTTATTTTCAGCGAGCCTGTCTGCTCATTGGCTGTCTCAGTCTGAGAGTGGCAGCTGGGGCTGGTAGGAAGGGATTCATTGCGGTTCTCCTCTTGCCTTTGTTTATGCAACTCCTCATTATTTTCTTTCTGCTCTCCTTCTGTGCCATCTGAGTCTTCATCTGCAGCATCCTCATTTGCTTCTAATTGAGTGTCTTCTTTAATTTGTTCCTTGGGTTCATTCAACGGCACTTCTTCCTGATCTTCCTCTGCCTCATTAGTGCTGGGGGCCTTTTCATCCTGAAGTTGCTGTGCGTCCCATTCTTCTGGCTTCGTTACTTCATGTCCTTCGGTGCTTAATGGATGGTTCTCCACACACAGCTCTACAACAAAGGACAGTAGTCACCAAACAGCAGAGCTGGCATAAGTGCAGTGCCTAAGGCACCGGCCCACATGTGCTTACTCATGAGTTTACGTTCTCTACACTCTGCTGGACTAGCAGATGAGCCATTCTCAAGGGCTGAGTATGCTTCAGTGTTTGTTGTTCTAGAACCATGGGTTGCCACTGAAACGTGGGTTATCATGTTGTCTGAACCCAGCTAAGATAACAAGCCACGGTGAACAACCCACAGTTCACAACCCAATGAGACATTATGGCCTCTCTTCATGGGGTGCTCGTGGTTAAGAAGCCATGGCTTACTCTCATGACTGTGTTCATATACCATGCTAACCGACTCTGCAGCAACAACCCATGCTCAGTCCTTGAGCGTGGGTTATCCTGCTGTCTGAAGCCAGGCAATAGCCATAGCCAAGTGGGGGCTCACAGAGCTGCAGAGCAAGTGCTTCCAGGTTAACAGAGGCGTTGATGCCATCTGCCACCCCCCTCAGAATCACTTGGACTTCCTGACATTAGCAGAAATGTTCACAGCCGCTGGGGAACATGAATGACAAAGGAACAAGATATTCCTCCTTAACGCAACGTATTCTGAATGGGCAATTAGCTTCCCTGAAGAAGTGGTCCCAGTAATGGTGGGTGAAAACTGCTGGGACGGGTTTGTTGATACGATGCACAAGAGGTGTGTTTCTTTTGGGACTTTCTGGGGGCGGGCATGGGAGCTGTGACAAGGAGCATGCGTGCTGCAAAATGTATCACTATACTCTCAGAGAACTGAGTTCAGGAAATCTGGAACTCTGCTTCAGACTTTGGCTTAGCCGTCTATTCACTAGGTGGTCTTAGACAAGGAACTCTCCCACATGCCCGCCTTCCCCATATCTGCTATTTGGGAGTGAGAATGCTCACAAGCTTTGTGTGGCAAGTATTGAGAAAGTCGTGTTCATTGCTCTGATCAACATCTGGTGTCCTCCAGATGTTAGAGAGTACAACTCACATCAGGCCTAGCAGGCATGATCATTGGTCAGGGATAGTGGCAGTTGCAGTCAACTTCATCTGGAGCACACCATTTTGCAAAACGCTCCTTTAAAGCACTAATACAGATGCCAAATAACAACATAATATTGTTTGGATAGTGTCATTATGTAGTTTCATCACTAGGTCGACCCAGTTGTATCAGGGTGGAGTCAGGATTTTCTGCTGCCTGCACTGCTCTTGCTGGGAGAGAGATTTGTTTATCCTAAGCTTTTCATGCCAATATTTTTATTGTCAATACTTTTGAAGTACAAGGACATTTTATCTCTTGCATTACTGTTACATGTCTTTATGTTAATAGCAAAACCTCACGCTATAGTTTATAACAGATTAATGGAACAATTCAAATGTTTAGAGGATTAGGAAATGCAAACAAGCCAATCCTTAACATTGCCGCTTTTCTTGCTTTGCCTGCAAAATATACAGTCACACACACACACACACAAACACACACCACTTGTTCATTGTTTTAGCCCATTGTCATTTTGTCCATAAATGTGCATATAACAAAAACATGTTGCTCCCATTCTAAGGGATTCTCTACCTGAGGTATTAAGCAGCTGCTTTTTCTTTCTTTGTGGCAGTAAGAGTACTCACTTTGCACATGTATTTTCCTGAGGTTTTTTTTCTCTGCCTCCCTGTATATTCTCTTACACAACCACAAGGTGTTGCTGCAGTATAGCACAACTGCCAGAACACACTGGGTTTATTTGAGCATGATAGCGAAACGATAGCTGATTATTTTCATTCTAAAAAAGGTGTGAAATTGGCTGCCAAACATGGGAGAGGCCCTGGAGGAGGACGCCGTCCTGTAAGCCTGTAAAGGCTCATTTGTGCCCAATAAATGTCTCAGGTGGAGAAGCTATAAATATTTCTGAAGTCCCTTTGCTGAGTTGGGGAAGTTCTATTCCACCTGCCATCCTTCTGTGGACAGCTGCCTAAACTACATCAACTTGAAAAGCCAGAACAGTTGTATGTGAGATTGTTGGTTTGCCTAACGTGTGTGTGTGTGTGTGTGTGTGTGTGTGTGTGTGTGTTCATATGCATGTTAAGAGCACATAATTGGCTTGTAGCAGCCTTACCTAACTTGCTGCCCTCCAGGTGTGTTGCAACTATGTTTAGATTGGTATGTTTGTTTTATATCCCACCTTTTTTCTTATAATGAAATCAAAATCATTCTCCTCCTGCTGCTCTCAATCTTATCTTCACAACAACAACCCTGTGAGGTAGGCTGGACTGAGAGTTTGTGACTGGCCCAGGTCAGCAGTTGGCTCCATGGTTGGGCAGGGACCAGAACCCAGGTTGCCTGGGTGCCAGTCCTGTGCTCTTAACCACTACACCGCACTGGCTCTTGATGGCTATTACAGTCCAGTACATGTGAAAAGTGCCAGGTTAGAGAAACCCAGCTTGTGGCCTGTTACCACCTGTTCCTTGCTGATGGAAGTCTCTGCATTGCTTTGAGGCCCTGGGTTCATGCGCAGGCAACCTGAACTTCCATGGAGCCTACTTCAGGTAAGCATGTACAGGACTGCAGCCTAAATGAATGAATAAATGCTAGAAATGGTACAGAATGCCATATTTTCCTGACTTGGAAGATGCTGCTATTCAAGCAGAGATATATGAGCCATTTGCATCCACTATCTCAATAGGGCAGCCTGCCTGCAAGTTATTTATTTATGTATTTATTTATTTGAATGGCTGATCATTAAGTTTGGGCACGGTTTGGACAGGTGAGGACAAGCTTTCTCAAGAACCTGAGAAAGACAGTGACTATTATATGGGCTAGATCCATCTTCCTCAATCTGGTCAGCCAGACTGACCAGTCAGCATCAGTCAGACTGGCCAGTACCAGGAATGCTGGGAGTTGTAGTTCAAAACATTTTGAACCTAGTTCAAAAAGTGGACTAAGTTTGGAAGGATGGTTTAGGCTGGACAAACACTATCATCTAGGTGCAATTAACACATGGAATTGTGGTATAAGTTAAAGATTCTTGCAGGATGGCTTCTCAGTTTTGCTTCTTCAAGAACTAGAATATTTTGCCCAAAGTCACTTGATAAAAGTTCAGTGCACATCTGTTAACTCTAAAAAATATATAAAATACCATCCTTTCTGTAGCACTGGATAATGTATGGAATGATTTGCCAGGTCTTGTTAGGAAAAATGCAAATAACGGACATTAATGAAATGCGAAGATTGTGAAATCACACATTTAACTAGGATTATGAAATTTTTAAAAATCCCTCCAGTTCAGCCTGAACTGCAAAGTCATTTTGCTATAAACTTTCTGAACTGATGTTCAGGGTGAAGGAGTTTGTTTGCAACCCCTTTCTAAGATACACTAATCCCTGACCATTGGCCGTGCTGGCAGGGGCTTCCAGGAGCTACAGTCCAAAATGTCTGGAGGACACTAATTGGTTACCCCTTCCCAAGGAGGAGACACCTGCCTAGTGCTTCTAGAGAGGGAAGAGAAAACTTCTATGGGTAGAAAGAGCCATAGCCTGCTTTGGGGACAGGAGGGCACTGCAGTTCAGTGCATCATCTATTCAGGCATCGCTTGAACTGTCAGGCACTGCTTCCATTTACCAGACAGACCCATACTGACTTCAGTCATGGGGCAAAGCCTGCAGGCCTCCCATTAGGGAGTAAGTCATGAGATTAAGGGTTCAAATCTATGCACACTTATTAGTAACTAAGTCCCACTGAACTTAACAGGTCGTTAAGTTGAGCTTCATGAATGGAGACCATGTAGTGATCTTTGGAAACCCACACACATTTTTGCTGAACATGCTCACCAGATGCTTTGCTGAACAAAGGAGAGCCCCCTGCTTGGCAGCAAAGTCGCTTCTTCCGTGGTTTAAATCGCGCTGCGTACCACTCCCCACAACAATGGCAGATATTTTCATTGTATCGCACCTGAGCAGAACATGGGGCAAATTTGCTCTTTCCACCAGGGCCGCAGGCCAAGAGGGCCATGCTCCTTTCCCTGGCCACCACACATCTGGCGGCTTTTTCTGCCTTTTACGTCTGCCTTTTTTATGTACCTTCCCAAACCTGGAAGGACCCCTCCTCAGGCTTCATCGGGCTTCATTAAGTGGCTTAGAGGTTAGAGTGGTGGGCTAGGACTCTGGAGCTCCAAGAGGCAGCAATTAACTCCTCTCCTGGGCTAAACCCCCTTTCTTGACCCCATCGGTCCCATGGGGAATGAAAGCCAGAGCTACCAATGCAGTGGTTCTGGGACTAGAATTAGATGTGAGCACATACTACATGAATATGTACTCAGTCTTGTCAGAACTGTCATCCTCAACAGGGTGCTCATAAACAAGGTAAAACAAAGATCTGGTGATGGGAAAATATTTTACTCCCATTTGGTGCTTCCAGCTACTCTCACTCTTTACTTTCTCACCTCAAATAAGACATTGGCCCATAAGGAGCAGCATAGCTGTGTTGTTATCACACTACGCACATTTAAATTTGCTTAATTTTTATGCAAACCACCACTGGGGAATCCAAAGTAAGAGAAAGATAAATGACAAATGTACCATATATACATATGCAGGAGCTGTCCAAATATTTACTTCCCTCTGTATTGCAAATGTTCTCGAGAATTTAGCGCCTAGAACACTTGAGAAAGAAATTCGCTGACTTATGTTACATAGAAGTTAATGTTCACAGTGCCTTCAAGACCAGTGCTACACTATGGTGTTGTGTCTCAAAATCATAAAGAACTCTGTGTAGGATTCTCTAGAATTTTATAACCGAATCCAGGTGGAAAACCGTGTTAAATTACAAATCCTATTAAATTGTGCCAGACTGGCACCATAATGAGGCAATTCTTTCCGCCTGCACCAATCCGCCAAACAGCATGCAAATGGCCAAGAGTTATGCAAGTTGTAGTCCAAAAAGTCTGGAGGTCACCAAGCTGCCTACGCCTGTAAACACAGAAACCCAGCCTAGCGATCTGTGCACAGTGCTGCAGAAGCTGGATGCCACGTTTCTGCAGAGAGAACCGCCTGTCCATTGCCTGCTGGCTTCCATGTGTTCAATCCATCAAATACGGATTTGCGCAGCGGCCGGCCTCCAAACAGGATCCCCTGCTGAGTGCCAGTGACGACGCTTGCTCAGTTGCGTGAACGCTCATGGGCAGCCAGACCATTTGCATGAACAAGATGCATACTGTCCGAAGCATTATCCACTATGGACTGGAGAAGAACATTTAAGAATGCAGGGTAGAGAAGTGTGGGGCTTCAGTCAAATCAAATCCTGGTCCAGCAAAAACAAAAATTGAATTGCCCATTTGGCACGACCTCGCCAGCTTGTTTCTGTTTCTTTTTTCTTTGCTAGTGGCTTCATGTCCAGCTGAGCACAAGAAATAATGGAGGGCAGCTGGAGGCTATTATTCCAGAATGTCTGGTTATTCAGACTAGTGTCCTTGGTCTAAGGGAAAACAAAGAATGGGGTGATCCTGGATAGTGAGTGTGCTTAAGAGGGAAGGGCACCATTAACTCACACTACCTGATCAGTCCTTTTGAGGGTACCCCATGTAAATGCAGGTTAGAGACCATCTCAACTGAAGAAGGCAATCAGGTGTCAAATAAGTAAGCAGCGCAGGGCCAGCAAAAAACATTTTGCCACAAAGAACAAGATGGTGCTTTCTCCCATCTCATGTACAGAAGCCCAGCTTTTCTTCAACAGTGTGATGGAGCGGTGCCCTCCACTGCACTTCAAGGCGGCAGGCTAGAGCCAGAGAGACAGGGCAGGGCGCACGGCCTACAGCTTGTTCTTCAAACCCACTGCTGCTGACTCACAGCATCTGCCACCTGAAGCCCCTGCCTCACCTCACCTAATGATAGGGCCGGCCCTGAAATGGTTATGCCATTTCTTCACCCAGATACCCTCCAGATGCTGAAGACTTTAATCTGAGTCTTAGACACCTGCTTGGATCTGATGGCCTTCTTGTGTGACTTTTCCAACTCTATCATTTTATGATTTGATGAGCTCCCATCAACCTTAGCCTGTGTGGGCAATGATCAGGAATGCTGGGAATAATGGTCCAAAATATCTGAAGAACAGCAGATTGGGGAAGGCTGTGCTAGAGTGACTCCTGTGATTGGTGGCATAACCTGGGGGAGGAGTCCAGACTAGTTGCAGACCCATAAGGCAACGGCAGCTGGGGTTCTGAGCTCTCCCAATGGCCTGTTGGCAAGGCTGTTCCTGGCACCTGCCCCTCCCGATATCGTGAGTCAGTTCAGAACCTGCACTTAGACCTGAGTTGCTACCATCCAGTTGGCATCTGCCGGTGAGATGCGTGGTAACGGGGTCACCTGGGTACAGATCATCTCCTTTTGCACTATTTGCAGGTCATCTGGAGGACACATTTTTGGCAAGGCAGACATTGTGGAAATAAATAAATAAATGTTTCCTGTTTACTCTTCACCTCACTAGCAGCATAGTCAGTGCCTGACCGCAGGAGCCAGAGAGAACCCAAGACAATTGCTTGAAAGTGAAGGATGTATACTCAAAAGCAGACAAGCCCATAAATGGCCACTGTGGGGGATCAAACATGGTTGGGAGAGTTCATCCTTTCCTCCCCACCGCCAGGATGAACACCCCTTCTTCATCATCCCCTCAGGCTGCTGCCAATCCCAGGTGGGAAGCCCCTCTTTATCACCAGTGGGGTCTTCCTACCCAGGGATAACAGCAGCTTTGTGTAGCAAGTGATTTGGGTCAACAGGGCAAGGTGCAGGAGGGAACCTCTTCACCACCCATCCCAGTTCTGCACTTTTTCTTCTGCATGTACACGTACCAACATTGCAGTTGTTTGCATTTTAAAAACCATGCATGCACATTATTTTCCTGCCATGTTTTTTGGTCCTGAGAAATGAAGAATATTCTCTCTTGCTCTCGCTAAGCGCCTCTCAGCTGATGGTGGATCTTCCACCTGCTGAACTGGAAAATCATGTTTAGTTTTTCCTGACTAGAAGCATTTGAGCCAGTGTGGTGTCATGGCCAGAATGTTGGATCAGGACTCAGGAGTTCGGGGCTCAAGCCCCCACACAGCCATGAAACTCAGTGGATGACCCTGGGTCAGTCAGTCACTCTCACCTAACCTATTTCACAGGATTGTTAAGAAGATAAAATGGAGACAAGGAAAATCGTAGAAACTACCTTGGATTGGAGGAAACATGGAATATAAATGTATACAATGCAAACATGGGACACAAACACATATAGATGCAATGAATAAATGTAGTACAGCTTTCCCCCATCTGGTAGTTGGATGTTGTAGTCAGAAGAACATAAGATGAGCTATGCTGGATCCAGACCCAGGGTCCATCTACTCTTCTGGCAGTCTGTTCACACAGGGGACCTCCAACAACCACCAAGAAACTCATGAGCAATGCTCATGTGTATGTGTACACAAAGACACCTTCCTGCCCATGTTCTTCATCAACCAGTGCATATATGAGGCATACTGCCTCTAATATTTTGGTATGTATTTATGTACTGGATTTTTAGCCAGAAGGCTCCCTGATACTGGAAGCAACAATATAACTGGAGAGCCTCAGACTGGGGAAAGCTGATTTAATCAGAATCCCACTTCCCCCCCACCCCCCACTCACACACACAAACGAAGGCAGCAGCCCCGTTCTCCTTTCCTACTTTTCCTACTGCCCATGAGCAACGCTGCTTCAGAGAAGCTGACCTGCTTCTCTTAAAGAGATGAGTCAAACAGCCGCCCACCTCGATCAGTCTCTGGCAGGAAGCTGGGGCTGTGGTGCAATGATAGGATCTAATCCCGGCCTGGGTTAATAATTACACAATCATATCTGTGTTTTCACATCCCTTTCCTACAGGCTAGAATCCATTTCGTTGCCTTCTCGCCATAGCCCAAATATGGCAGGTTGCGACATTTAAGTGGGCGTCATGCACTTGTTGCTGGCTACTCTCTGGCTTAATTGGTGCTTTAATTTTACAACCAAATGCTCCATTCAGCTGTTGCCTCTGGCATCTTAAGTATTAATTAGGTTAAATTGGATAGGTAGTAAAAAAGCTGCCTGCAAATCAGAGATAAAGTGCCGGTGCCTTGGAGTTTGTGTGTGAAATATTATTTAATGGGTGTTATTGTGTGTGTTTTCTGTACCATGTGAATGTGGGGACAGTCATTTTTCATCAGCTGGGTTCTCCAAAGGGCTGAGGACAAAGCTGCCCACTGATAAATGTGTAAATTTCTCCAACTGAATGTCCCAATCCCTCCTCCTCCAGCCTCTGCACCATTCATAGGCTGAAATCCAAACACAGTTACAGCTATAACTCTTTCTGTATTTGGTGTTATCCATTTGCATCTACTCTGACCGGACCTGGGCTAATCCTGAGATTCCTTTCACCTTGTTTCGATTTCTAGAAACCAAATTCTCTGTTTACAGCCATTTTGAAAGACCCATCCTGTTTGAAGGGGGCAGACACTTGCTGTTTGGACACCCAGCTTGGGGAAGGGGTCACAAGAACTCAAATGCTCTTGCACAACTTCTGTGATATGTTGTTTGGTTCTGATCATAAAGATATTCCACTTCTTTGGCTCTGGAATACTTCACTGCCAGCCGCACTGTTAATAAAGCAGCTGTGCTTGTGGGTTTTAGATATAAGGGTGGTTGAAGCAAAAGCAAAGCCAATACTATTAGATAGCTTGACAGATATTTATGGGGCAAAAGACATAAATAACCCCAACTGTGGGACAAATGATCAGTTTTGTGTTTTCTCTCATCCTTGCAATCATGCATCACAGACATCATTCACTGAGGCTGGAATTATTTGTGTGGAATTGCTTCACATCATTGAGAAAATAACCTCTGTTTTTTGTTCTGTGTCCAAAAAATTGTTCTCTTCCTGTAGGGCAAATTTTATTTTTTTATTTTTATTTAAATCTTTTATATACCATTCTTTAGCAAAAAAGCTTTAAAAATCTAACTAAACTCAGGCTTTGAAGAATTTGATTGTTTGTGACTTCAACTGATATACACTGGTGAAGACTTAAGTGTCTATTTAACTAGCCCTTTCAAATCAGTTGGACCTCACAGTGTTTGCCTGTACTTAGCAGAAGCTGTGATTTATTTTTTCCTACTTAAAAAATCCCAAAAATACTTCTCACCTTCTCCAGATTCTTCTTCCCAGTCTCTCGTTTCCTGGGAAGATACACCATCTTTTTCTTCTTTGTTTCCCCCAGGCTTTCCTTTAGAAGATACAAGATGATATAAAAGTGACATCTCCTAAACAGTGAGAAGTGATTACAGCTCCACTTGCTATTCTTTTCAGCTGTACAGAGTAGCTTAAACTTTTCCACCTGGAGTTATCATTTCAGTTACATTTTCATCTTGAGCAATTCTCAGTAGAGATGTGTTCCACACCAATCTCTGAATTGATTGCCACTGATTTTTTTTTTCTTTTTGGTCACAAGAACCACTTAGAAACACCTCAATTAATGTTGGCAGAGCTTACATTAATGGCATTTTGCACACAATTCTTCCAAAGTTAAATCATTTCACATTAATTTTGACCAGGCAAACTGCAAGAATTAACAGTCCTTGATTCTGGCTAGATCAATTTTAGGATAAGAATCACATACATTTGATAGATAGATAGATAGATAGATAGATAGATAGATAGATAGATAGATAGATAGCTGGCTGAGCATATTTTTGGAATGTCAGTTGACTTCACTCAGTATTATTCATTCATATACAATATCTTTAGAATAGTTACAGACACAAATAAAAGCAAAACTGTAAGGGAGAAAATCTGTTAAAACATAGATACAGCATTTCATAAGTTTGTTCGCCAAACGATCAAAGAAGAAAATATCAAAGCATGGCATTTTACCTCCATTTGCCTTTGCCTCAACCGAACCGTCATATACTGTGTTCTCTGCTAAACTAATGTTTCCTTCTTGGTTTTCTTGTGTAAGTAGGAAACCAGGTTTAGGTTCGTCAGTTTCATAAGGAAATATCTCAACAGAATTTGCTATTTGATCAATAATATCAATGACTTGGATTTGTGGTTTTTCAGAGGGCATATTCCGTTTATATTCAGACATGCTGGTTGGAACTTGGACATCATCCGTCATGATTACTGTAGTATCCAAAGGGTTCCTTGTGGATCTGTGTCCGGTAATGATCCAATATCCTATGATTACTGCAGAAATCAAACCAACTGATGGTCCACAACTTCTTTTGAAAACAAAAATCCTTGAAGAGTCCTTTCTCCTGAAGTTGTTGCTGCCAAACAGCAAATAGAATAACAATTCAGGATTTGTCTCAGGTTTGTCCGCGGTCCCCTTCCAGGAAGCTATCCAATCAGCACCGTCTCGTCATTTAGAGTCTTTCTGTTGCATAATAAAATGCACCATTTCAATTTACATAAACAAACAATCTACAAGCAACAAAGCTTTTTGTGCTGGCATGCAGAGCAGGGCTTTCAGCATGTCAGCCCAGCAGTAATAAACAAAGATTGTTGTCCTTGATTCACAATGGCTCTTTGTATGCCTGGCCTTGCAACAAGAGTGGCGATTGTTCTAAATCTTTAATCCACACCGAGTGACCACCTTGAGTCACACTAGCTGTGTGTAACCAGCTTAACATTCCCAAATAGAGTTAAATACTGCATTCTGGTTAAACCTCAGACCATTCTTGGTCTGACAAAGAATATATCTGATATTTGTGGAAGCATGAAAGGCCATGAGGAAGGAAGAGGTAAACTTGCATGAGGTTGTTCAGCTATTCTGAAAAACGGTATTCCTCATCCCCCCAATTATTCATTTCCCTTGTCTGCTAAGGCTTATAGAAGGTAAACATGAATACAAGGAATGAAAAACTAGTAACTAAAAGTTAAGTATCAGATCTTCTATTGTGCAAGGCCCCAGCGTCTTTAATGATGGTTTAAATGAAAGTATTCCAGGGGGTCCAGTTTTAGGTCCAGCTTCAGCACCATCAGTGACCTTCAACTACAGTACACCAGGTGCAGGCTAGACACAAGGAAGAATGTTCTCACTGTCGGAGCAATAGGGCAGTGGAACCAGCTGCCAAGAGAGGTGGTGCGCTCTTCCACACTAGGGCCTTCAGGAAGAATCTGGACAGCCCTCTGAGTGGGATGGTGTGACTGGCATCCTGCACCAGCAGGGGTTGGACCTGATGGCCTTCGTGGCCCCTTCCAAACCATCTCTTCTATGATTCTATGATTCTGTGAAATGGCAACTGACCAGTGCTCCCCACATTGACAAAACGCCGGGCCAGTTTCAGCATTTTTCAGTGCTTCTGGCTGATGTTGTTTAGGGCTGATTTATCTGCACAACTTGTGGGCCAAGTCTGCCCGGCCCGGGGAGAAAGCCCTTCTAGGTCTGGTCATGGCAGTGAACACCTTCTGCATGGCAGTGAACACCTTCCAGGAGCTGTTCTGCCACTTTACTGCCCCGCATGCCTGCAGGGCTGTCTCCTGACAGCTCCGGCTCTCTCTCCCCAGCTGTGCCCAAGCCCCAGAGGCCACTTGACTGAGCTGCCAGGCAACAACCTGCCAGCGCAGTGGGAGCCTTGCAAACCATTTTTGGGGCTTAGGCTGCAAATCTCTGGCACCCTCTCCTGGGCCTAGAAGCCGTCAAACTGTTCCGGTGTGCAAATCTCATTCAGCAGCAGTGCTGATAGTGCGTTATAGACAACTGAACCCTCAGTGAAATTGTGTCATTTTAGACCATGGATTGAGTAGTCTTATGGGGGAATGGGCCTTAGGAAAGCCAGAATTAATTTGGCAACTCCCACAGAGATTTTCTGAGCATGCACAGAATTCCCTATTTTTAACTCATCAGGTTATTGATTGTTTTGTTTTTTTTTACTGTGCAATAGCTGAGGCTCACTGGGTGGTTAACATTTCTTTTTTTTACTGTATCATCATGGATACAGGAAGAAAGTGTGTTTGCTTCTGCTGCCCTGCTGCTCAATACTTCTGGTTGAGATAAGGACCATTTCATTGTAGAAAGTGACTATATACGAAGAATAATTAGTAAAGCGAGCGCCTCTAACCACATGCTTGCCTGCTTAACAACCCCCTAGCCAGGGAGATTGGCTTTGCCACTGCCCCTCCAGGTGCAGTCCTGCAGTTGGTCACCAGGGGAGGCCTGGGCTACGTGCTCCCCCGGCCTCCATTCCTGAGCTCATGCCATGCAGCCGGTCAGCCTCGTGTGCGCCTGCCAGGTGTCACCCATTCGGGCTGGTCCAGGTGTCACCCATTCGTGCTGGTCAGGCCCTAAAATGTCAATGCTGTGCCGTTTGGCTGAAATGTCCCAGCATGCAGCAGCTGCTGCCGGGGCCGGGCAGCCCCAGCATGAGAGGCTGCACATGGAGAGCATTGCACAGCAGAACCACCTGCGGTTGCAGGTGTGCAGGGGGGACTCGTGCACAATCACCTGGTTCACAGCTCACAATCCACCCTGCACTGTCGCTACGGACAGTTTCAGGAAAGTTTGTCATGACATCCAAACCCAAGGTGGGTGCTGAATTCAGACTGCATGACAACCCAACCTCAAAGGTTGTGTGTGACTCTGCCAAAATGTGGTTTATTGTGCAGTCTGAACTCAGTCATGTTGACAAACCATGGTTTGTTTTTAATGAAAAGGCACCCTGAGAACGCATGGCTCACTGTTAGTTGGCTCAGAGGGACTGAGTTTGAGAAAATGACAACCCACACTCAAAAGTCAGTCATGGGCTGCATGTGGAGGTTGCCACTGAATGCGGAGCTCCTGTTGTCTGAATCAAGCCAGTGGCTTGTTTTCAGAGTGGCTTGTGCTGACATCCAAACCTGGCATGGCCCTCTCCCTGTGGTTTATTGGAAACAGCTAAAGAGGCACCTGGCAACCATGGTGGAAGCCGCTGCTACTCTCCAGGACCTCTTTAGCGCTGCTGCCATCTTCCTCCATCCGCTGTCAGTGCTCTTAGCCCATGCTGCTAAAGTCTAGAAGGAAGGACTCTGGAGAGTGTCCTGAACAGGCTGCTGCTGCTGCTGATTATCATTATTACTCTTATTCAAGTGTGCCCATTCAACCATCCATGTCTATGAAAGTTGCATATATTTACCAAACTTGCATATAGTATTGTCCTCTCCAGTTTACTTTTCTGTCAGGAAATTGGCAAACATTTTCCAATCCATCCCAATTTTCTGGCTTGAAATGTGGGTGTATTTACTAATTGCCCTCACCCCCACTCTGTCCTGCCTTGCAACATGCACATCTTTACCAATTTCCGTCACTGCTGACAGCGAACAAAGGATGCCAGAGGAGGGAAGAAACAAGCATGAAGTGGAGTGGCGGGAGAGAAAGTGGCTTGCGGCTGCAGTGAACAAGATGTGCAAGTGACCATATTCGCTTGGTGGCAGGTGCAGCAGTCTTTTAAGAAGGGCTTTTCACCAACACATTTCGCCATACTGAAATGTCAAGGACCTTGATGAAGAAGAGGAAAGCAGTATGATGGGATAAATAGTGAAGAGGTGGTCTTCTGCTCTGGTGACCTTGCAAAGACCCCGATTTTAAAAAGGAAAAGTTTGTGGATGTGTTGGCACATTTGTAAGGACTCAGAAAATGTCATGCACTTGGCAACCTGATGCAGAAGGGGAGAGACTCCCTCTGAGCCAGCAACCCCAGCAAACAAATTGCAGAAATATGCTGATGCAGAGAATGTGGAATTTCTGCTGCAAAGGCACTTGGGATACACGCCAGAAACAGGTGGGAGGACCAAAGGGGGAACAACAGCAATGCACCAATCACCTGCTAGAAGTAATGTGGTAACCCACAAGTCATGATGACTTGCCTTAAGGTGGCTTAGCAAGATGCACCAACTTGCCCACTGGGTACATCAAATCCCAGATCTTGGGATAAGGCGCTTGGAAAGCTTGGGAGCACACTAAGTGCACGTCCTTGTCTTTTAAGTATGGTGCACAGAAGTCTCCACCAAAATCCAATCCTGGCTATTTCTCAAAATGGGACAGAGGAAAGGAAGTCATCTCTAAGGTGTGGAAATTTCAAGCTCAGTTTTGCTTTAGACAGTTTTTTCAGGCATGTCTGAGTAGAACTACACTTTAATCAGGGACCACACGTACATATATCTGATTCCTCATGAGTGGTACACATACAATGCTGCCAGAGCCGCACTTATTGGTGTGCCCACAGAGTTCAGCTAGACCCAGTTCAGTCCAGCTAGTCCAGTGCAAAGCTAGACATGTAGCTTCGCACTGGACTGTAGCGAGAGTCCATAGCTAGATCTCCCATCAGATTTCCCATCAGATAACTATTGGAAAGGGTAGCTTAGGGTAGAACTTGTAGAAGAGAGGCCACATTTAAGAACAACAAGAGGTAATAATCCTGGGTGAAATTCACCATGGTACATTTTCCACCTTCCCCTCTCAGCTTTCATTGCTTGAAGACCAGATTTCAATGCAAACAACAATTGTGGAAATGAAACAACATCTTGAGATAAATCAGCAATGCTTGGCTTATGCTTCTCATGAGCTGAATGCTCAAACAGGTCCATAGCAAAGTATCTTTGGCCGTTTGGATAGATATTTCCTTTATTTAGCTCTGTCCATCTGGACACTCATTGTGAACTTATCTGTCACGTTCCTATCCTGCCATTCGGATCCCGTGATTCCCACAGTGCTCCAGCCCACATCCTGCCACTAGTGAAGGCGAGCTGGAAGCAAAGCCACCGGCTGGTGCAGATTGCACGGCTCCGTTGGAACCCGGCTCTCAGGGAGAACCCAGTGAGCACTTAGCTGTGGGGCAGCTGTAGCAGCAGCCATGTGCATGGCAGTGTGGATGCTGCTCCAGGTTGCAATGCCCGTGGCACATTTCATTTCAGCCGCTGCTTCTCCCGTGAGGTGCATGACTGCATCTAGAGCACGGCATCTAGAACCTCCAGCAAGTGGGCCAGATCTCCCCAAGCTTTTCTGTGGGTTTTCCATGTGAACCACGGGGTTCCCGTTTCCCAGCCCTTGTTCTCCAACTGTTCGGCCATTTCCTGGCATTTGTGCAGTTTTCCCTGGTTCTAAAAGGTTGGATGCCTCCCTTTGTAGCCAGAAAGGCTTTCA